GCGCCGCCTCGCGCTTTTAACCTTGAAAAATTAAAGCGTGTTATCAAATCGGCTAGCTCACATTGAAAGCAGGTAGGCGCCGTCAACCAGCGTTCATCGGCGTTCTCGCTTTTACCGGAACGAAAATTTATTTATTTCTGCTTTTGCACGCGCCGACGGCGCACAGAGGGGTATTAAGAACTAAAAGTTGGCCACAATTATGTTTTATGATTTTTGTGCTTTTTTGCTAGTAATATTAATTATTAGAGGAGAGGGTGCTAATATGGAACCCTATTTTGTTTTTCCTACACAATATTTTTTCCTCTACTCTGAAACCCTTTCCACCGATCAAATAGGGCCATTCTGTGTAAAACCAAGAACTTGGATGACAATGCTATATATCACGTAAATAAAATTTAAATTAAACTCACAAGATAGAAGAAATTACTTTGAAAATCGCGCTAAACAATTTTCGGTATTTTTTCAATGAGGGCGGTTTATGATTTTAAAAAATTATATAATCATTGACAAGTATAAATCAATCACAGAACTTGCTTTTTGAATATTCTGACTTTGACAACAGAAAATTCTTTCTGTTCTTGTTGGCGGCTGTTCTTAGCAACCGCTATAGTAGCGCGTGGTAGCGCCAGATCCTTGATTATGGATGGCCAGATCGCGTACAACGTACAAAACAATTATACATTTTGGCGGGGTGCCGAGCATTCCAATCTAAATTTATTTCCTTTATCTACTATAGAAAATGACATTCTAAATAGAGAGCAAATCATATGTCAACTTTTGACATTTTCGACAAAATTTTGACAAAAAATAGCAGTTTAGGGTGCCATGGTTGTACTAAAACAATTAATTTTAAACCAAGAATCTTTGAAAAAATAGATTTGATCGTCTAATGCATTTAGTGTCTTTTTCCGATCTATATTGAAAGACAATCAAAATGAATAAAGGCCTAACATACTTACATAAGTTTAATAAAGAAGGAACTCACTCAATAATTTTAGAACGTACTTTTAACTTATTTAAATAATGATGACGTAAAGTTGAACGATCGCTGAACTGACTGTACCCTACGTCTTGCGCGTCTTTTTTCAATTTATATACACAATTATTGAGGTCTCATTAGGCTCAAAGTTAAATCTCTGAAGGATTTTTTATGTTTGTCTGTATTCTAAGCTTCCTTAATGGAGAAGTTGGCCAAAGATCAACCCCAATTAGTTGGAGACTTAAAGTTTTAATGAGGCAGAAGCTTTTTATACTTTTGCGCTGAATATATTTTTACAACTCATTTCACTAATTAAGTAGAACAAAAGCCTTTCAAGAATATTTCTTTTTAATTAAAACCAGTAATTTTTGAAATAGAGGCTTTATGGTATTTAATAACAATGTCGTAACTATTGCACTTTAAATAATTAACTTCTTCTATTGAAGTAATATCCTGTCTCATATTTTCAGAAAAACACTATTATAGAAAATAAAATCTTTGTTAAATGCCTCTATCTTCATCAAATACACACAACCAAACTTATATTGAATCACTCTTTATTTCTGACTAAACATGTTGCAAAGGAAAAATGTTGGATTAACAGATGTATAGAGGGGAACAATTATTGATCTCATTGAACAAAGAATGCCCCAAAGAGATGTAGCAGAGATAGTAGGCGTTACCCAGAGAGTTGTATCGAAAACATATGCAAAATATATATTTGGAACTCTCAAGAACAGGCCTAGACAAAGTCGTCAAAGAGTCACAGTTGAACAACAAAACCACCTTGTGTGCCAAATTGCTAGAAGAAATCCCAGTGTTTCTCAACCAGAGCTACACAGACAACTTCTGGCACCTACAGGTGTGAACGGTTCAGTTGAAAGAAAATAAGAAAAAGGCTTCGTGCTCTAAGGTTGTATGAACAGAAGGAGAGAGTTACGGGTCCCACAGTCATCTCGACAAAATAAAATTGACAATTGAGAATTGGCAAGATGTTCTTTTTTCGGATAAGACTAGAATTGGCCAAAGATCAGATGACCATCGAATTCGGTTTCTCAGAACTCCAGGAAGACGAGCGAGATTCCAGGCTGCCAAATCTGTACCAAGACATAAATTGACAAGACATAGATTGACATATTCAACTGTTTTTGATTACTTCCTGTTTCACCGGAAATTACTACATTTCTTACAACTTTTGATTTTTAAATGGCACCCTCGGTATATTTTTACTTTATTCGATGGAAAATTACATTCTGAATAGAATGACATATCATATGCCATTCTATGTATGACATATTCTCTTAAAAAATGACATATTCTCTTAAAAAAATCGTATTTTATATTTCAATCTATGGCTGTGTGAAAAACACTAATTTTTAATCAAGAAGCCTTGGAAAAATAGATTTGATCGTGTAATGTTTTACACGATCCGGTTAAACAGGTTTTCCTGTCTTATCCTGGCTGGTTAAAAAATGCCCAAATCGCATTTTTAATCATATCTCAATTTTTTTCAAATGGAACAAAGATGGCTTATTAGCATATTTGGAAAAATATTTTTTTATGAATAATTTGGTACCACACACTTGGTATTTGGAGTCAAATTGTCGTTATGAACCGCATGTTATAAATGTCAAAAGTTGACATATGATATGTCATTCTATTCAGAGTGCCATTTACAAATCAAAAGTTGTAGCCATTTCCGGTGAAGCAGGAAATGGCCAAAAACAATTAAATACGTCAGTCAATGCTAATTTATCACATACTAACATACCAAATCTCGTTTTATTATCTGAAAAAAAAAGGTATACGGGTGAGCCACTTTTGAGAAGCACCCAGTATAGATTTTAACTATAGAAAGTGCTTAATAAAACAAAAAGATTAAACAGGACTTCGTTTGATTATGATACAAAATAGATCAATTTGAAATAGTCTAGAAGTGTGTCAAACAAGATTGCAGATATTGATAGGCTGAATTTTAAAACCTTTCTATTATTTTTACTAGAAATAATTAAAATAGAGAATCATAAATAATATGTTCATTCATAGTTAAGAGTCTGTAGTACCTAAAACACCCTGTATTAAAGAGAACTAAACTTTTTTTACATCTTATTGATCGTGCGAATCTTTCTTCGTTTTTTCTTATTAAATTAACGAGATTGGGATCTATATTGGAATAGCTGAAAGTAATTCGACTGGGGTTGAAATTTTAATAACTGCCTTCCGGGCATAGTTGGAAATCCAGGTGACATTCCGGAAGGGAACTGTGCAACGAAGATGGGGAGAACCGGAAGTAAGGCAGAAGATAAAATTAAATTGCTGCTTTATTGTACACGAGGGGTATAAAAATAGGAAGGAAATATGAGATAAATAAGGGAAAATATGTTCAGGGTAACTCAGCAGTATGGATACCGGGTCCAATATAATTATAAATATAGCAACCATGGAAGGTTTGGTTTGGTTTGGTGATAGGAAGGGAATGGTAGCCAAGAAAGAACGATAGGAAAACAATGGTAGCCAACCTTGAGTAACATTTTCTAGTGTATATGTTTTAAATATTTCATTCGAATTCGGACTCAAACATACAGTGTCACAGATAAACTCTGCATGAAATGGGATTTTATTTTATTAATTTTTTTATATACCGGATGTTTCTCAAAACTGGCTCACCCCTATAACTTTTTTATTTTTTCAGAAAAGAAAACGAGATTTGGTATGTAAAGCAGCCCATACCTTATCAAACAAATTGCGCAACAAAGCGATGCGAAACGTTGCGTTGCACAACTGCATCACCCATACACTTGGTAAAATTTTGATCAAACTTTTTATTAAAAGTTGTGCCCCATTGTTTGAGAAACAATCATGTCCCCAAATGCCATTGCGTCAATTATTATCGTATGTGCCCTAGATGATGTCGATGTTATCAAAAAATGAACAAGAAAACAAAGAATTTGAATGAAAGAACTAAAATATTGCACAAGGAAGCACAACACACACATACAGTACACAACGAGTTGCGCAAACAGTCCCGTTGCACACAAGAATTCAAACATTCTTGAAACTCAATGAAACAATTGCGCAACGCATCAAATAGGGCCATACATTGGAAACTTGTTGCGCAACAGCTTGTGTTGCGCAATTTGTTTCATAATGTATGGGCTGCTTTAGTAAATGATATAAATTAGTATTGAATGACACATTCAATTGTTTTCGGTAACTTCCTGTTTCACCGGAAATGACTACAATTTTTAAATGATATAACCCTCTATTTTTACTTTATTCGATAGAAAATGACATTCGGAAAAGAATGGCATATAATATGTCAATTTTTGACATTTTCGCTTTAAAGAATTGTATTATAAATTTCAATCTAGAGTGTAATTCCATGTCTGTGTTAAAAACACTAATTTTTAATCAAAAGGATCCTTGGAAAAATAAATTTGATCCTCTAAAGATTTTCGTATCTTGTCCTTGCCAGTTAAAAGATGCCCAAATCGTATTTTTAATCATATCTCATTTTTTTTCCGATGGTGGTATTAGCATATTTGGAAAAAGCATTTTTTACGAATAATTTGGTACCACACACTTGGTATTTCGAGTCAAATTGTCGTTATGCACCGCATGTTACAATTTCAAATAAACCATATGCGGAAATGTCAAAAGTTGACATATGGTATATGATTCATTCTATTCAAAGTGTCATTTTCTATCAAATAAAGTCAAAATATACCGAGGGTGTCATTTAAAAATCAAAAGTTGTAGTCATTTCCGGTGAAAAGGGAACTGACCGAAAACAATTGAATACGTCAATCAAACCTAATTTATGTCATATACTAACATACCAAATCTAGCTTTTTTTATCTGAAAAAATAAAAATGTTATAGGAGTGAGCCACTCATGAGACGCACGCGGTATACATAAAAAATTTACTACAACAGTTTTTTATAAAATATCACACTTCATTATTCAACAATTTGTTTTTAATTTAAATTTGAACTAATATTTTTATTTATCCATTTTAAAGATTGCCGGTGTAGCATTGAATGGAATATCTAAAAGAGGAGAATGCGAAAAAGCTGTAGAAGAAATCAGATCCGTGGACAACGTGCAATATCGAAGAATATTCGGCCTACTGAACGATGTGAACCTCGAACTGGACCTCTTCTCCAAATACGACGTGGATAGGATCTTCGAGATCAGAATTCTGTCAGTTGACGCAGGATTTAGGGGCAAAGGAATTGCCAAGGAACTGTTCGCTCAGAGTGAGACAGTGGCCAAACAGAATGGATTCAAAGTGAGTATGGTCGACAGAGTAATACCACAGCGTATTCTGACTTATCATCATATCGCATATCCAATATCCCATTCAAAACTGTATTAACTCGAAATACGAAAATTTTTCAGGAAAAACAACAGAGTGAGTCTTAAATAAGTGCAAATATTTTCAAGGCTGGTAGATCTTGATAAAAGAAACATATTTTCTCTTTGCCGTTTTTCAAATAAGTCCAAAATAACCGAGTTATTTTACTTTGAAAATTTCCCAAAAAAAGTTTTTGCTTAAATTTTGGAAACACTGGATCTTTTCTGGGTTTTCTTTCTTGTAAATTAAAATCTACTCCCTATGTTGCCATATTATCAAGGAAATATGTTTTTAACTAAAAACAAAAAATCACAAAATTTTTTTCAAAGAATTCCAAATTTTCAATTTTTTTTTCGCGAAAAAACCTCATAATCATCTTTCTAGGGCGAAATATACTATCGCAAAAATGTTTGTACTTATTTAGAACTCACCCTGTATAAGCGACTGTCAGATGAAAGGCTATACCCTGGCATCACTTATTTTTTAAACCATACGTAATTTTGGTAAATTTGCAATGTATATTAATGTAATTGTAATTTTCTGTTTCCAAAAAAATCCTTTATAGTCTATGCGGCAGACCCTCAAAATAGGGTAAAACGTAGCAAATTGGGTTAAAAGGATGAAACTCGCCAGAGTTGTTATTTAGACCATTTTAAATGATTTGAGCCGCAGCACCCCAAACTTCACCCCTTATGATGATGGTTTTACCCCTTTTTTACAAAAAAGGTTAAAAATATTCAAAATTTTAATGCCTGCGCCAATTGTATAATATTTGGTGACATATTTTTATAAAATTTAACTAAAAACTAATAACTCAATTATTAATTATTGTTATTAATATTATTATTATCAATAAACAAAATTAAACTGATATGTTTATCATCCCTACCCTAGAAATAAACGCAATATCGTAATTTTTATACTTTTAATAATGTTTAAACTGCTTTAAGTGACGTCACTGACTGTGTATAGTGGAATTAACACAAGAAGCAATATAAATTAATATATTATAATAATTTATGTTGAGCAACGAACAAAATATTAATCATTAAACCGTTTGCCGGTGAGTAGATTTTTTATTACAATAGGTACCTACACTAATTGCATGGCTTCGGTTTTATTTTTTTTGTTTTTTAATGTAATATTTGCTTCTTTGTATCAGGAAAAAAAATGAAAAAATATAAAAATAAAATAACGGTACCGCATCCCCTAGATAGCTTAATAGATTGGAAAAAATGTTGTATCTGTCAGACTGGTGGTGGAAAAACTGTTGGTCCTGCCATTAATCCAGTTGTTTCGCTTCGAAATAAAGGATATGGTACTTTAGCTTCTAATTTACTACTTTTAACTAATTACAATCACGTACTTCCATCTGGAATGCAAATTAATTGTCTTAAAGGGGAAGGACAAATTGAGCAAACATTAATCGAAAAAAAAGCACTGTGGCACAAAGCATGCAACTTAAAACACATTTCACCAAAATTTGACATACTTCTCTCTTCATTATCTAAATCTAATGAGGCAGCATGTTGCTGTGAGTCTCAAGAACAATCTCAGGCATCTATTTCGCATATTTCGCAACAAAGGGGGAAAATAATTCTGCTCGAGCAACAAGATCAACAACACCATTGGTAAATGTAAAAAAAGATGTTTGTTTCATATGCACTGAACTAGGTGATAAAAAAAAAATGTCTGCTACTGAGGCAATTTATAAAAAAGTGGAGCACTCTACTAAAATTCTTGGTGATACGCGCCTTCTAGCCGTACTGGCAGAAAGCGATTTGGTAGCCCAAGAAGCCAAATACCATCTTGGCACGTCTATACAAAAGAAGAAAAGAAAGAAGACGTAATGTTAAAGATGAGCAAGAAGATACGGTTATGTGTAAAAGTCTGGAAAGTATGTAAGTAATCTGGAAAGTATTATTGAGAATTGTAACTCCATAATGTAGTAACTAATGTGGGCGACAGCTGCAGGTCATCAACTGGCCGTTTTACCAACTTAGAAGGTGTATCCTGTGTCCAGATGGAAGAAGCAGATGGACGAATAATCATGCACATTAAAGGCATGATTATTAACGGAGCCAAATCGGTGTTAATTCGTTGTACTGACACTGACATTTTGATTTTAGCTATATCTTTTTTTCTTCAATTTAACCTAATTTAACTACACTTCTAGAAACTGGGACTAACGTTTGGTTTAATAAAAAAAAATAAGTTTATATTTAAAAAACTGTTTGTCCTGCCATTAATCCAGTTGTTTCCCTTCGAAATAAAGGATATGGTACTTTTTTTTATTTTTTATTTTTAGTATTGCCCAAATTGGTACAAAGAATTCTTGACGGCGCATCCAAGGAGGGGGGGGGGATAACATTCCTTCTCCCCCCATAGGTGCGCCCACGTTCTTGTCACAAATTTAATTACATTTTTCGTACCAAAACTTATAAAAATATCCAGCATTTTGGTCAGGATACGGTAAATATGTTAAAGAATGAAATTTTGACACTTAAATCAAATATTACAGCCGTAGAGCCCAAACGTTAGGTTATACAAAATTGGCGTATTTTTTTTAAATTTTCATGTTCGAATTAGTAAAAAAAGACACTGAAATTAAAAAAAAATATTGAAATAAATTTGTGAAAAATGTTAACCCCTTAAAAAATAAATAAGGGTTGCAACCCTACCCCAACGGGTGAAATTTTAGGTGCTGCGGGTAAAATAGCTTAAAATAACTAAATAACTATTAAAATTAATAAACCTATTAAACAACTATGCCAAGTTCCATGCTTTTAACCCATTTTGCTACGTTTTTTTATGGACCGCATGTACTATTATGGGTATTTCGCCACTGCACTGCAATAAAATCTACAAAATAAAATTGACAAAAAATGAATGAGCAGTGTGTGCCAATAGATTGATTTTGATTGCAGTGCAGTGGCGAAATACCCATAAAGGATTATTTTGGAAAGTTGAATCCGCCACATAGGTATAGACATTTTTTAATTTTCTGTTGTTCCTGTGGCACTCAAATTTCAAATGTAAATTGTATATGTTTTAGAATAATGTGTAAAGATCTTTAATTATACCTGGTCTGGTATAGAAGATCTGGTCATCGAGACGGCATGGTATGAATTTTAACGTGTAAGACAGTGATGTAGACGGCTTAATAAAAAATTAAATGTATTAAAAAGAGATAAAAGTTGGGTTGATATATTTCTTCTATACGATATTGCCGGATTTTGCATCAAAATTTCAAACCTTACAAGTAGGCGTTTACGAAAAATGTTGCAACTAAGGTTGGAACTTTATTATTCACAATTAGTTACTCATTTTACTACAGCTGTAAAAGTAAAGATTTCAGTTAACGTCTCCTTTTTGCTGCCAGGTCTAATCTGGACGGGGCCTACTTTGTTTACGCGGAATCCAAACCGCGGTCCTCGGCCATATCATGGTCAATGGCCTACCGACTTGGCAAGTGTCTAAATCGACTCTTACTCACGAAATATCCGATCTCATCCGGCCTCAAACCGACGTGAATGAGCAGTGTGTGTCAATAGATTTTACACTTTTGCCTTTTATTGGACGATACAGAGTTTCGAACCGGTCACCCGTCCATCCACTAGTATCGCCTTACGTCGCTTAACTACAGCTGTAATAGATTATAGTAGTAGACAGTACAGTAGTAGCGATATGACAATTTTTAAAATAGTTTATTTTTTTTCTACACACATTTTCCTACACACGTAAAAACCGACAACACCGCTTCTTTACTTTATCTCTCTGTCTGTTAACCGGTCGTTTATATTCATCTCTGTCGCATGCATTAAAATACAATCCACGCAGTTGAAGTGTCCAGGATAGTATAGTTAATCAATTAGATAATTTGAAAACATTTTTTTTTAATTTAACCTCTTATACAGATCATGAAAACTGATGCTACCAGTTTATTCACGCAAAAAGTTGCAGAAAGTCAAGGCTTCCACGTGGAAAAATCTATAAATTACCACGACTACAAGGACGAAAATGGCCGTAGGATCTACGACACCCAACCGCCTCATTTACATTACAAAGTCATGGCCAAACTGATCTAAAGTGATAATTCCAAGCCTCTGCAAGAAGAAACATGGACGAATGGATTTTGTTTGTATTCTTTTCTGACAATAATCGTTCAGACAGAGGGTCGATGTTGTTACTTGATTAGTCAGTGGCGTATCAAAGCTATTAAAACGAATTAATTTAAAAATATTGACTCACAACACCATAGTAGTTGATTCACAGTTACCCATCTTATCTTGGTTGCGTCACCATGTATAAATAATTTATCGAAAGTTCCTATAAGTTAAGTAACGCCACTGACAAACTAGAAAAATGTTAATACTGCCACTGCCATGCAGAATTACACATTTAATAAATAAATCTAAATATCTTCAAAAAATAAGTTCAATTATAATGAATTTATTATTGATTTGTTACAAAAAAAGACAAATATTAACTTAATATTTATTGTTATATAGGGTGGTTCTTTAACTTGAAATACATTTAGTAAATCAAAGATATTTTTTTTTATCCTAAATATGTTCGGATACGTTGCTATTTCAAATGTAAGAAAATGTTATACGTGTCCCAAATAACTAAAATAATAAAAATAAAATTGCAAATATTCGTTTTTCCGGAAACCTTAAGTAGTATTGTATTCTGAATTTTTAAACTTTTAAGTTGGTATTTTGACACAGCAAGGGTGACATTAAAATTCTCGTCGACATGTCCGAGCATATTTTGAAAAAAACGTATATTTTATTTACGGAATTTATTCTGAGTTACAGAATCACCCTGTATGTGTACTAATAAGAAAAATTATAAAACTATTGAGATATTTTTGGAATATCTAATCTGTTTTTCGACTATAGTTACTAAAAAGTTACTATACTAAAAAGGACCATTTATTGGGTAGGCCTCATAATATATCAATACCAAATTCTTTAAACCTAGTTTAAAAAAAATATTTAAATACATATATAAAAAGGACTATTTTGCACATAGTCTTTTTTCAAATATATTCTTTGTTATATGCCAATGCGGTTGCAACTTAATTGAATTTTTATGTACCTATAAAGAACGATATTGATGATATGGGGCTTACACTTTTAGTGTTATTATTGGAGGAAAATAAACTCCCTTTTATTGTAGAAATAAATGTTATTCTAGTTTTTAGAGGCAATCTTTTTAGGGTATACATTTTTATATCAGAACTTTATAATAAATACTTTCCGAGATAAATACTGTTCAGTTTTATTTCTAGTTTGATTGTTATTGGATCTACATTTTTTAGAGATAAATAGCATGGGAAAATGCGAGATTTTGACTTAATAGAGTAATTACTTATTGAGTAGATCAAAACAATTTTCAAAAGTCAGTACCAAAATCTGCGTTAACTTTACTTTATATTCGTACCTACTCAACAAAACCGTTGTGTTTCAATCGACCTAGTCAAGCTTAACAGCGCTTTTAGATGTAGCGGACCGTCCGCGTGTCTTTATATTAATGTGTTTATGTATGGCCGTCATCTAGACGGAGCATACGCGACCTATGTGAAGTTGTTCATATAAACTGATGGTGATGGTACTGGCTCGAAGTCGCGGACGGTCCGCGCGGACGCGACGCTCCGCTCCATCTGAAGAGGTTCGAAAAACGCTACATTTTTAACCTTGCCCTGTATTTCAGGAAATATGAAGGCTAGGCCTTATATAGAAAGGCCTTACATAGAAACTCTCGCCCATATATGTATACAAAGAAGCCAAAGCAAAAGTAATGATATATAAAACAAGCCCAAAGTTCCCAACTGAGAAGGAAGTACGAGAAGGAGACCAATATCCCCAAAGCTGTTTACAGCAACACTGGAAGAAATCTTCCGTCAACTAGACTGGACCAATAAAGGATTAAAAATAGATAGATGGAGAATTTCTTAATCATCTAAGACTCGCTGATGACTTCGTCCTAGTTCCCAGTAGTCCTTAAGAACTACAAACACAAATTAACAAACTAAATACAGCCAGAAATAAATTAGGTCTCAAAATGAATTTAACAAAAACTAAAGTAATGTACAGGGAGTCCCAATTTAGTTGAAATCATACGGTATCTCCGTTATTAGTAAAGATAGGAGGATGCGGTTTGCACAAATCTGTCCCACTTTTTTGTCAAACGAAAGGTACTGTAAACAAAATTTTCATATCCCTCTTCGTTTCCGAGCTACAGGATCTTTTAGAGAATTTTGCAATTTGGGACAGCCCCCGTATCTCTGTTATTGTGGATGAATCGAGAAGGTGAAAACTGATTCTTGTAGAACTTTTTACGTCGAATACAGTGGCGTAGTCTATTTTTTTACGGAAAAAATATTTTTGAAAATATGAACTAAAGTTATGTTTTTTTTTCAAATAGAACACCCTGTATATTTATAAATCATTTGATCAGCCTTGCTATGAGCTTCTCAAAAATATATATCACTCTATATTTATTTTCACCATTTACAATAAATCATTTTTATATTTAAAATAAATAATTTTTTTATTAGTAGGCCGTGATAAATAACAAAAGAATCAAAATGGTATTTACTAAAGTAGTCATACACACATACACACATTAAAATTTTATTTGGGTTTGATATATTTTACGTTTGAACTGTTACCACCCAATCTCTGAATATATTTTTCATTCTTTATAACGGAATTTCTTATAACGGGATGGGTTTGCAAATATCTAAAAGCTTGCATTATTAAAGCATTTTTCAGGTGTTCGACATTGTAGTAGTTGCCACGATACATTTCATATTTTAAAAATTCCCAAAATCAGAAATCGAGAACGGACAAATCCGGGAATCAGGGAGGCCATCATATAGGTCCATTGGTTTCAATTCGTTGGTTTGAGAAATAATAATTTAACAAAATTCTAATATTTTCAAAGTTGTTAGGGAAAGCCTCATATTGCTGAAAGTATATTTCACGTAAATTAGCTAAAGGAATAGACAGTTAAAGCAAGGCACAATAAGTATACGTATGTCTCGAGACGTAACGCAGAAACTTTCGTTACGTCTGCCGTTGCGTTGTCGTGTAAACAAGAGTTAAAGCAAGTATTTTGACGTACGTAACGCAAATGGTACATTTGTAATTCTAAATTATTTTGTGAAACAATTTATTTAATTTTAAAATTGAAAATGGATATCTATTATTCCATTGATTTCACATTAAATTTATAAAAGTAATATCGAAAAATGAAGAAAATTATAAATGGAAATTATTTTATTACAGAAAGTAGTCCTTACAACTTAAAATGCTCTTCGTAATAAAAAAATATTGGAAAACAGACACAGCTTTATGATTATTTATTAGAATCCATCTAATCCTCATATGGTTTTGGCTATAAGAACTAGCATTTAATTAAATAGATTCCAAAAAGAGTTTATTATGATGCTTAATACCGTATGATCGAAAAAAATGGCGTCCAGTTAGCTGGGAAATGAACATCGATGACATTTCCCATATAAATTTACATATAAAATGACAGGGATCTTCACTCCATAGCCATCGCTGACGCCGTTCTTTCTCGTTCATACGGTATTTTCATACTAATTTATTGTAATAAAATAGGCCCAGTTCTGTGACACTGGCCCCAAAATTTATGAAATAACTTAATTACTAGCCAGTTGTGAAAACGAGTTGTTTGTGAATTTGTACGTTCGGCATCATTCGGGTGAAAATCGAAACTCCTTCGGCTCGATACGTTTGCGTTTTGTAAGTACGTAAAGGCACGTAAAGATACGTATCACGTATCCGTAAACGCAAGTGAATTTCACACTGCGCAAGCGTACATGTCAAACGATACGTTTACGTCTACGTCTTTGGCCGTGCTTTAACTGTCTAATATCTAAAAGTCCCGATACGATAACTTCCAAGATTTACAAATAACGGTAGAGAGTTAAGTTTTCCTAATATATAAAAACATTATTAGTGGCCCCTAAAATAAAACATGGGACAGATAGCAGTATACTTTTAATAATTCTTTATTTTCATTTATTATCAATTATGGCCTACTAATAAATATGATCTTTTAATAAAAACTTTTAAATATTGCAGTAAATAGTAAAAATAAATATAGAGTGATATATATTTTTGAGGAGCTTATGGCAAGCCAAATCATATAATTTATAAATACAGGGTGTTCCATTTAAAAAAAAACATAACTTTAGTTCATATCTTCGAAAATATTATTTTCGTATAATAACAGACTACGCCACTCTATTCTCCGTAAAAAGTTCTACAATAAACAGTTTTCACCTTCTCGATAACTTTCGCAATAACAGAGATACGGGGGAAGTCCCAAATTGCAAAATTTTCAAAAAGACCCTATAGCTCAGAAATAAAGAGGGCTATGAAAATTTTGTTTACAGCATTATTCGTTTGATAAAAAAGTGGGACAGGTTTATGCAAACCGCACCCTTCTATCTTCACTAATAACGGAGATACCGTATGATTTCAACGAAAATGGGATACCCTGTACAACGAACTAGTAGACATAAAAGTAATTCTAATAAATAAAAGAAAACTGGAAATAGTAGAAGAATACATATATTTGGAACAACTAATACACAGCTCGGGATCTCTACTCTACTACCAGAAATGAACCGAAGAATTAATTAGTTAGCATGGAGTACTTATGGAAGAAACTCAATCATATTCAAATCTATAATGCCACTTCATCTAAAGAAGAAAACATTCGACCAATATGTTATTCGATCAATCCAGTCATGATCTATGCATGGGAAACCTGGACACTTAAAACAGACATTATAAGAAAACTGCAGGTCGCACAACGCTCAATGGAACAAAATATGCTGGGAATAACCAAGAAAGACCGTAAAAGAGTAGAATGGATACGATAAAAGACGCAGGTATAATAGATGAGAAACGTGTAGAGATGTGAAAAAAAAAATATGTTTGTAGCTCTACTCATAAACGAGAAACCCCATAAAACACACGAAAAATCGGACACCCTATACAACATGCTTAGAATATTTTTTTGTGAAGTGACAGGTGTAACATTTTTGTTTATTTGGATTTCCTTATCTTTAAACAAATACATTGATAAATTCAACCGGTAAAGGTGAAGTGACCCCACTTCAAAATACATATCTACATAACAATTATATCTTTATGTTCAAACCATGAACGCCAAACACTTACACCTATAGATACAAGATAAACTCATTCATAATAATATGATTACCACTTATTTAGTCATCGTCAAGCTAGCGGGGAACATCAACAGGAAATAAAATTAAAAAATATGAGAAAAATACTTGTTATATTCACTTTAGGGACAGTGTTGCATATATCGAATGGAGGTATTTTACCTCCACAAGCATCATCAGTGAGAGAACTCCTTAGTTTGGATGGTTTATGGCATTTTACCACCGAATCAAAATTTTTGAGTAATATCGAAGATGTAAGTACTTTATTTACAATCATTTATGTAATGTTAATACCGTACGATCGAAAAAAACGGCGTCCATTAGGCTTAGCATTTCTAAGCCTGGATTCACATCAACATGGATGACATTCCCCATATATAATTTTACATACAAAATGACAGCGATCATCATTTACAACAATTGCTGACGCCGTTTTTTTTCGATCATATTATTGTATTTCTGACTTTGAAATTTACAAAAATATAATATATATATAATAAACTATACAGGGTGGCATCTTCATACGACACGGATATTCCAAGGAGAATGACAGTTTATATGGAAATGATATTTTATATACAGGGTGGTCCGAACTGTATTCCGGAAACTTCGGCAGCATATTCAGTTTTGTCGGCAATAAAGTCTTTGTATTTGTATATTTGTATTTATTCTGCAGACAAAAATAAGTAAAAAAGTCCGTATAAATGTATGTCCTAAAATGCTTAGTTTCGGAAATACAGGGTGTTGAAGTTTCATTTTTATTTCGATTTGATCCAAATAATTTCTGAAGTCAATATTTGAATGAAAGTGGGTGTCTGGGAGTTTTTTGATATGAGAAATTTGATTTTGATGTCGATATGACTCCCATTTGTAGAAGGCGCCACTTACATGCGTTTTAACTGTTTTGAAGAATAATAACTTTTCGTCCGTACCTGTATAAAAGCACTGAGTGAGAAAATATACATTTCCATGACTTTTTACGTATAAAATGTCTCTTGGTAAAAATCGCTACGAGTAACCGTTCTCAAGATATTTATAATGGAAATAGTCAATACATGTCATTATTGACAAAAAAATAAAGACGTTGAATAGTTATTTGACTAAAATAATAAATTCGGGAAATTTTCATTTTTTTAAATTGATCATAAATTTTTCTGCGAAGAAATGATGTTTCTGTTGAACTTTTGGCACAAAAACATTTCAAATTTATGATTTCAGTCTAATAACTATTTTTAATTTTCATTTTTTTAAATTGATCATAAATTTTTCTGCGAAGAAATGATGTTTCTGTTGAACTTTTGGCACAAAAACATTTCAAATTTATGATTTCAGTCTAACATGTTTAATTTATGTGAATGATGTTTAATTCATGTGACATGTTTAATTTATGTGAATGATGACAGGTATTGATAATTTAGATTCCAAATATCTCGAGAACCATCACTCGTAGCGATTTTTCCCAAGAAATCTTTTTTACGTGGTAGTTTTTATGTCGTAAATGTATATTTTTTTTACTCAGTAGTTTTATACAGGTACGAACGAAAAGTTATTATTCTTCAGACCAGTTAAAAAATATGTAGGTGGCGCCCTCTACAAGTAGTAGTCATATTGACATCAAAATCAAACTTCTCATATTCTCATGTCAAAATCCTCCTAGATACCAATTTTCAACCAAATATTTACGTTACTTCATAAATTATTTGGAAAAAAATAGAAATAAAAATGAAATTTCTACACCCTGTATCTCCGAAACTAAGCATTTTAGGACATAAATTTATAGGAACTCTTTTACTTATTTTTATCTGCAAAATATGTTGCCAAAGTTTCCGTTATACACTTCAGACCACCCTGTATAGAGATATATACAAGGTTCTCCAAAGAGTCTCTAAAAAAGTTAGACATCAAGATGTGTTTTTATCTATTTTTCTAGAATCCAAAAATAAATTAATGTATAAGGTGTTCCATTACAAAAAACACCACTTTGATGCGTATATTTATCTGGACACCCTCTAGAACTCCCTATATTTTAATAAAATCCCTTAAAATTAACCTATATTATATGTTCCCCAAAATTTTGTTTCAATATAAACTATATAAACGTTCTCCTTGGAGCCTCTGCGTCATGAAAAGCGCCACCCTGTATAAAGAAATAAAGTGTGTTACTTTTTTCACATGGCGCTTCTTTTTATTTCTCTTTCTACAACTTAAGTTCTGGTGTTCTGTGCGCGGTATGTAATATATCAATTATTTTATCATAAAAAACTCTTCTTTTAGGCTAATGATCTCGAACTAAATTTGATGCCTGTACCATCAAGTTACAACGATATATCGACTCAGCTCAGTTTAAGAGATCATGTTGGTTCCGTATGGTATCAAAGGAAATTCTTCGTCCCTTCGTCATGGGAAAGCAAAAAAGTATGGATAAGATTTGGATCCGTCTGTTACAATGCCAGTGTTGTAAGTTATACATATAATTCGATATTATTTCTACGACTATAATCTTAACAATATTCCTAAATTAATTTACTAACCGATGTCAGGCCGTGTTAAGACTCTATTTAAGGTGTACGCGCACTGAATCGGTACCAGTCCGGCGAAGGCGGTGACTCGACTATCGTAGATAGGTAGAGGTAGGAATCTGGCCTCTACAGGCCGAAATGTTTTAGTGGACGCCGGCGCCGTCTATATGTACGATGGTCGCAGTCGCTTTTGCTGGTCGGTCCGATCCGATGCAGTGCGCGCAGAGCCTAAAGCTTGTCGCCCACTTGGCCGTCACGTCCCGTCCCGTTCCGGCCCGTCAAAATACGGATAGGATTAAAACCATGCAAATGAATAGACTACCGCACATTAGCCCGTCACGGCACGGAACGGCAAGTCCACAAATCACATACACAAGAAGAAGTGCGAGCGTCTTGCTAAATATTGGAAAGTGAAATTGACGTTTAAATTTGACAGTGTTGACAAGTCTACTGCTAGTAGCGCCCCCAATTTCGTTTGTAGGAACTACGGACTAAATTGTCACGCATGGCGGGAAGTTTAAAAAAAATTATTTCTTCATTTATTTTTAATTATGTCATACACAAAAACACAAAAAATACACCATTTTTTAAAAATATGTTTAATATCAATATCAAATATACAACAGAAATTAATTTCACCACAATAAATTAATAAAATTAAAAGAATAATGTTACAAGTAGATCAAGAGACAAAATTAATTATAACAAAACTGAAAAAAATGGCGTCATAGATGGCTTAGAAATAAAAGATATATCATAATTTTGAAAGTAAAATTATATGGGAAATGTCTTCGATCATCATTTTTAAGCCAACTGGACGATTATTTCAAACATACAAGCTGAGTTCGTTCATAGTGCTCTGAGAAATCTAGATAAACAAAGAATAATAAATTAAAAGTATTCCAGGGGAAAAGAGAGGAAAAACCTGTATCGTCTCTGATATCTGTCAGGGTATTGTTGAAAGTGTCATCTTTTTGCTCGAAGTTTTCAGGTCGATCAAAAAGATGACATTTACAACAATACTTTGCTGTAACTTTCACAAATATCAGAGAGAGTACATACAGGTATTGCCTCTCTTTTCCTCTGGGATGCTTTATATCTGTTGTTCTTTGTTTATCTATATTTCTCAGAGCATAATGCCGAACACGACTACAGTATATAATAATTTCAATATCCGAAGTGGAAAGAAAAAAGATCACCTTTCTGTTTTGTACTATGGTCCCTTTCTTCCGATGGCTCATCTCGTTGATATTTAGGAAGGATAAATAGGAAGGAAAATATAAAATTCAATTTGATTTGATGATCCTTTTCTGTCACCTAAAATCAGGAGAACGACAATGAGTATGTTAAGATGAAAAAAAAAATTATCAACACTTACCTACACGTTAGTCCGAGAGTTTTATTAAAAACCTATATTTGCCTAAATAATTTATGTATTAAATCTGCAAAGCAAAATGCAGCGTGTAAACAAAAGAAATAAAATGGCGACAAGTCAACGTCAACGACCCGACAAGGAGAAAAGTGGTGTTCGAATAACAAATTATGGGTCACCAAAAATTGTTTTTGTCTCCTTTCAACGCACACTTTAGAAAGAAAAAGAGGTGAACTGGAATACTGAAAGAACGTCAAAGTTTTATCTTGTATCTGTCACTCTTGTCAATAATTTATCTGTAAGGAAAATTCCTAGAAAATCGCTTGTAGTCAAGTTTTCAACCATTGCCAGTTCTCCCATAAGAAGTGTCATCCACCTGGGCAAGTCCGTCGGCGGAACAGATTCCAGCTCTCCGACTCTCCCCGTCAAACGACGGTCCGTGCCGGGAAGGGCTGGTCAAGTGTGCGCGGAGTCGATCGGCGCTGGCCTGCATTAACTCGTGGAAGCCTGTCGATCGCATATATGTTTTGCAGTTATTTCTGCAGTTGTTGGTTGTTGTTGAGTCCGAGAAAGCAGTCCTGCGGCAAGCCTTTCTTCTTTCGATATTGCTCTTCGAAATGAGGAATTTTGAAACGATAAATTAGGCTCTAAAATATCAAGCAGTTCTAGGCATTTATTGGGCGACATTCTAAAAAAACGTTTCTTTTCGTCTTCTTTTAAATCGTTAAATAAATTAATGAACTCTCCGAGTTCAGACCTCTTTTGATTAATGGGATGGACCCACATGTTTCTGTCTTTTTCTATTCTTCTTCTTCTGCCAAAAATGTCGGCCGCTACACTTCTTCATCAAAACTGCTGCTTTCACACAGACTCTGTCACTGCTATATGTAAACTAAAATAAAAAGATCTTCGCAGCATACGACCGCGACGTGACGGTTTGCCGGTTTCCACCGGAAAAGTGGGCGACCAAGCTCTCTGTCGCCTGCAAGCGACGGGCAGCTACGGTCCGTGCTGTGCCGGACAAGTGGGCGACAAGCTTTACGCTGTACTTTCGGGTCGCTCTCGGGGTCGGGTAAAAGCGGGTGTGCGGCCGAAGGAAATATATATTATATTTCAGAAATCTGCCTAGGCTTAGTCCGATCCTGTCGTGTTAAGCCACACCCAAAATTCCAAACACACATGCTTTTATTAAGGTTTGCAGATCTTGAGCATTTGCCATAAAATAGCGAGCAATTTGTTACAAAACCATATAAATTATATATCACTGAAATCACAAAACTTCAATCTATTTCCGTATTGTAAGGGAATTTTAAATGATGTCTTTATTTTCGTGAAAATTTAGTCCAAACATAAGGAATATTTTGTTGATGTTTGACCATCAAAATCTTAAAAATAAAGAAGTTGTCTAAAAATGTGCTACAATACGGATATAGTATAATCCTTTATCTTTAATTTCCCTCTTCATTTGTGTAAAAATACCTCGCCAGTTTTATATAAAACGTTAAATGCCGAATGCTTATTTTGCTGCTTTTTCGGACTAGCGAAATTGACTCTTCGTCGGTCACACTAGGCTGGTTTGCTAGCCGCTGGTTGTAGCCTGCTGCTAATAGTTGTTACAACTCTGTTTCAATAGCCGCTGTTTTGGATTCACACACATTTTGAATATTAGCGCTGTAAATCGCAATAAAAATCAATATTTGCCAGTTTGCCATGTCTGTTCGAAGGGTGCAATTGTTGGTGCAATTGTTAAAAAAGGGGGTTCGTAAACTTTGTCATGAAGTTTTGACGAAGAAAAAACAGTTTTGATGTTCCTTTTTACGTATTCAGGAGAGGACACATCCCATAAGCACACGTATTTTTCGTAGAGGTTTAAAAAAATATAGTTTGATTTGCAGTCCACTTGACATCCGACATCTTCGAAATCTATCAAGAAAATAAAATAAAATCACGGAATTTTATTATTTACCAGCAGCCACTTGTCATCAATTCGGGTCGCACAAGGCTATTGAAGCTAATAGCGAACCGAGGGTCACGTGATCCGCTGGCGGCTGGTAATAAATGTTGAACATGGGCTACTCAGCCAGCTCGGGCTGGTTGCTGGTAAATTTATTCGTCGGCTAGTAAAAAGAGCGGGGTTGGGGATTCACACTACGCTATTACCAGCCTAACAGCAACTAGCGGCTAGTAAACCAGCCCAGTGTGACCGCCGCGCCGCTCGCCGCTTAGCTGAGCTGTGCTAACATATCACTTTTGAAGTATATCTAAAAGTAAAAGGCCATAAAGTAAAAAACACATTTATTTGTAATAAAAAAATGGTTTTATATAAAAGTTATAGGGATGGTTAAGATGCACATTTTAAAATTATTATAGAGTATACAAGGTGCTTCAACAAAGTGTGGCGGCTATAAAATATGTTTTTTTTTAAATGCAACACCCTATTTTTTTAGCCGACCATACCAAAAGGTATGGTAGGCTATTAGGGTCGGCAAAAAAAAATTTTTTTTTTAATTTCACTCAAAATGAGTTACTTGGGTCATAAATGACCTAAATACAAAATATTTTCATGGTGTCTGTCTGTCTGTCTGTCCGTCTGTAACACGATAACTCAAAAACCGCTGAACCGATTTTAACCAAATTTGGCACAAAAATACTGTGGCACCCGAGAATCTGGCTATTAGTTTTTGGTGGGGGTGGTGGGTTGGTAAGGGGGTATGGGAGAAGGTTAAAAATTTTAAAAAATCGTAACTCCAAAATTACAGTAGCTAGCGAAACGCGGTTTTCAAATTAAGATTAGGAATAATATTTGCAACAAAATTTGTAATAACATCAAAATCAGTCAAAGTCGCAGTTTTCGAGATATTGCCTTTATTTTTAGATTCGGCGTAAAATTCCATGACTTTTTTATATATTATAATGTTATATACCTAAAATTAATAGTTTTTGTAATATTTCAATTTATTTAAACAAAATGTTAAATTGCAGTGTGGAAAAAAGTCAGTGGTGCCATTGTTTCTGATGTTGGAGTACCAAAATTTGGTAGAAGATAATTTATGTAAAGTTAATTTAGTTAAATGGTACACGGCCCACAAACGGTCAATATTATTGCGCAATATTTCATATTGTCCAATAATATTGACCGTTTATGGTTTACATTGAAGGTTGCACAATATATTGTGTCAATCAAAAACAGTTTGATTTTTATTGTGCAATAGTGATTAGTTTGTATCGTGTGTGGATAATATTGCACAATAGTTCAGGTATATTTTTGTTTTCTCTGCGTGTTTGTCTCGCCGCTCGGCTCTATTTAGAATATTTAGATCAGTGGTTTGTCAGCAAATATGGGGTCAAAAGCAAAAAAGGAAGAAAGACGATTTATTTTAGAAGTCATCGAAATGTACCATTCTTTGCCAGCTTTATGGAATACAAAAAGTAAAGAAAATAGCAACAGAAATAAAAAAAATGAACAATATGATGAATTACTAGGGAAATATAAGGAAAAATGCCCAGACGCTGATAGAAAACAATTGATAAGCAGGCTGAATTCGCTGCGAACTATCTTCAGGATTTTTTCTCAATCAATTTTCTTTTTTTCAACTTAAGGTGTGACCATTCTTAACAATTCCTCAAATGTTGCTTCATCCATTCGTAGAAAGTTTCGGTAATTAGCAGGTACACTAACTTTTAATTCTTTTAATAGATTTTCATGGCTATACTGGCCTCTTTTCTTATACCAATCTTTCATCCATTTACTTCGACACTTTTGTTTCTTTGTTAAACAAGTGTCCAAAACAATTGCAATAGCAGCCTATTTTTTCTTATCTATGTTAACCAAAGTGTAAAACGAAACTAGTTATTGAACAAATTCATTGTACTGTTTGGAGATCTGTGGGCCCCTTTAATAATTATAGTTTAAAGTTTCGTATTTATTAGGAAATGAGCTGTCTATGAACAAATGAGTAGTCATCAAAAAGTTGTAAATTATTCCTCTTTAAGTATTTTATTAAATAGAACATTTCATTTTCATTGAAATACGATTTCAATGTGAGTCTCTCGAATATACTATTAATTCATTGTATTAAATAACAGAAAATATAATTTTTAATGCGTCAGTGATAATTAATATTAAATATTGATAATTTCAATATCTATTATTTAAATAAACAAACAAAAATCTTAACTTATTAAGATTAATATGACGATGAATTTTGTGACGCAGAATTGTTATTAAATACCTTTATAAAATACCAGACAGAACATAAGTAACTGTATTTTTGTTACAGGTATATTTTTCCAGTTTTATTTAACCGGAAATTATTATTATTTAAAAAAAAAGTAATTTGAAAAAAAATATTTGGATATACAGTGTCACAGAGAAAGTCCGATAAGTTGAGAGTTGGCTTTGGCGATAGTTTCCGCTTTGATTCATGTTAAAAATGACTTCATTTTTTGAAAATTTTGGCTCTATTCCCAGGTATCTGTCAAGTTTGACAATTTGAAACATACCCGACTATCCGAGGGTAACAGAATTTTTTTTATTATGTCAAATTTAGCAGTTCGAAAGATGTTTCTGCTTCATTTTCAACCTTATGGACGGTATGTGAATATTGTTTACAATAGCACAGGCAATAGTGAAACTGTTCAAAAAATATTTTAATTAAAAGTCCATTTCACTAGTCCGAAAAAGTAGCAAAATAAGCGTTCGGCATAGAGGTGTGTAGTTCGTGAACGAACTAGTTCCAATGAACTATTTCAACCCCGGACGGAAAGGAACTAGCTCGTGGTTTCTCAAAGAACTAGTTCCTCAGGATATATTCCGGGATCGAGACTGTGACCGATATATAATAATATGCGACGGCGATGGATCGGCCAGCGCGCGTAGCCCGATGGTAGGCAGGAGTGGAGAGTGCCAGCCGTACGTTATCAAATCCGGACCTAGAGGAACTAAATAAAAGCTGATAAAAGACTAGTTTACGTACGTACGACGGATCGGGCCAGCGCGATCGATGCTAGGCAGGAGTGGGGAGTGCCAGCCGTAGGTTATCGGATCCGGACCTAAAGGAACTAGAGGAACTAAATAAAAGACTAGTTTACGTATGGATCAGCCAGCGCGATTGATGCTAGGCAGGCGTGGGGAGTGCCAGTCGTATGTTATCGGATCCGGACATAGAAAAACTATTAAAAGACTAGTTCACGGGAATCTATTCAGTCGGCAGATCCGAGATATAATACAAGGCGACGACGATGGATTCGGTCTCGTCTATTGCTACAGCCGGCGGCGCGGCGTAATCACCACAGAAAATTGTCGTGGATACTGTTTTTGATTTTTAGTTTGTTTTTTAGATATTTTATGGGAATATTTCACTGTAGATCCCTAAAATTAAGAAATATCTTATAAAACGAAGTAGATATTCTGAATTTTTAGACAAAAACAAAAAGCTTGAAGTGAGGAAAAATGCAATTTTTTGTAAAATTTTTGTAATATTTGCTCCAACTGATTTGTGATATAGTTTTTTAAACTCTGATTTGAGTTTCTTTTTTATTTTTTTTATCTGCAATAAAACTTACCTATATGTTTTTAACATACACAATTACACGTCTCGTTATATCTCCGTACATTATAAAAATTATACAGATCATACTGTGAATAGTTCTGACTGACAACGAAACGCATTAGCAAGCAAGGGGGATGTCAATGTTAGTGGGGAACCATTGTGAACTAAAGACCTAGTTCAGGGAACTATTCCTCTGGAGGAACTAGAACTAAGAAACTAGTTCCTCCCAAGGAACTAGAATTCCCACCTCTAGTTCGGTAATTAACGTTTTATGTAAAACTGACTGGGTATTTTTAAGATAAAGGATTATACTATATCCATATTGTAGCACATTTTTAGACAACTTCTTTATTTTTAAGATTTTGATGGTCAATCATCAATAAAATATTCCTTATGTTTGAACTAAATTTTCTCGAAAATAAAGACATAATTTAAAATTCCGTTACAATACGGAAATAGATTGAAGTTTTATGACTACAGTGATATATAATTTATACGGTTTTGTAACAAACTGACTGCTCGATATTTTATGGCAAATGCTGAAGCTCTGCAAACTTTAATCAAGCCATAATCAAAGCACGCGTGTTTGGAATTTTGGGTGTGACTTAACACGACAGGATCGGGCGAAGCCTTAGGTAGATTTCTGAAATATAATATATATTTTCTTCGGCCATACACCCGCTTTACCCGACCCCTGAGAGCAACCCGAAAGTACAGCGTAATAAACTCTTAATGCAGTTTTAGCAGTTCTAAAATACTTCTAATGTCGTCCGATGCTAAATTTTCTCCTTGGTTATGTTTCTAGGATATTTTTAAAATTAGGATTCTAAATACATTATAAAGTAATTTTGGCGATTCTAGATTCTTTTAGCTGTTCTAAAATAGTTCTACAAAAAAAACTTGAAATCATATTAATTGTTTTCGGGTAGAAAGGAAGATATTATACAAATAAATTTAGCAGCTCTGATACTATTTCTATTTGTAATGAGTTGGTTATGTTTATATATAATAGAGGGGCTCTAAAAGCCTAAACGGCTCATGGCTGGATTGGATATCTTTCTCCATTTGTTTCTGTCTTTCGCCTTTATTCTCCACCCATCCACTCTTATGCTTCTCAAGTTCTCTTCAACATCTTTTCTCCATCTGGCTCTCGGTCTACCCCTCCTTCTCTTTCTACCCATTTCACGTTTCATTATCATACTAGGAATTCTTGCTTCAACCATTCTTTCAATGGGCCCCAGCCATCTCAGTCTTTGTGCTCTTGCTACTCCCGTTATACTCGGTGCCCGATATAGCTGTTTTAATTCTTCATTTGTTCTTCTGGTCCATATGTTTTTTATCTTCTTTCCTCCAAATATCTTCCTCAGTATTATTCTTTCCCAAATCTCTAGGCTCAAGCTTTCCGTTGCATTGAACGTCCACGTTTCACATGCATACAGCACTATTGGTCGTATCATTGTTTGGTACATTCTGATTTTTAAACTTCTAGAGATGTTCTTATTCTTAATAATTTTCTGTAGTGCGCTAATCCATCTATTTCCTGCCATTATTCTTGCCATAATTTCTTCAGTTACATTTGGTTTCCTTAGAAATACGGCTCCTAGATATATGTGAATGTATCTACTTCCTCAAACTTGTATCATTTCCCTCTTTCAGAGTCTATTTGTAGACATCTTTCCTTCTCAAAATCCCTATCTGGCCACTCCATAAATTTCGTTTTCTTCTCATGAAGCACTCAGCCTACTTTTTGCGCTTGATTTTCTAGTCTTTTGGTCACCGATATGAGCTCTTTCCGGTCTCTTGCTAAGATAACTAAATCAACTGCAAAGGATAAGCATTGGTGTCTTTTTGTATACAGAAGGCTATGTTTACTTAGGCATAAATTTGAGATCTATTTAATTTTTTTCTTCAGGTTATCAACGATGTCGTCGTTTTGACTCACCAAATTGGTCATTTACCTTTTGCTGGTGAGATTACTTCAGCTGTGAAATACGGAGAGGAAAATGTAATAACTGTTGAAGTTAATAATATTCTAACTTCCTCTACAGTTCCACAGGGTGAAGTAACAACATTGGTCAGGTAAAAGTTCATATTCTTATATTTATTCTTTACTTGTGTGTTTGCTTTATTACATTATTTGATATTTCATTACAGTGGCAGAGTAAAACAAACTTATACGTTTGATTTTTTTAATTATGCTGGTATTGACAGGCCTGTAGTATTGTACACATCTAGCGGATCATATGTTGATGATATTCTTGTTAAAACGGATATTGTAGATCAATCAGGTATGATGAATTTTAATATATAAATATATTGTATCATAATAGATAATAATTCTAACAATAAGATATCAAAAAGTAGCATCGTTGATTGAAGAACCAACATCGTCTATTATTGAACATCCCTGTGTATCTGCAAGAATAATACAATAATTATTTATTAATCGATAAACACCAATACTTTTGAACATACGAATTTCAGGATATGTAACATATAATATATCGGTTGCAAACGATGATTCTTCCATATCTCAAGAAATATCAGTTTTGGACAAATCAGGAAGTGTTGTAGCTTCCAGCTCAAACAGAACAGATACTTTGGAAATACCAAATGCCACCTTGTGGTGGCCGTATTTGATGGACGCAAATCCAGGGTATTTATACAAACTTCAGGTAATACAGTGATTAGGGTTTCCGGAATCGGAGCTGTTTTTTGGAATCGGGAATTTCTCGCTTTTTCGGTACTAGCTAATTTTTGTTTAATGATGGTGCAATTTGTCAATAAGAAAGCAGGGGATGGTTTTCGAATGTAATACCACAAGATGTTTCGGGATTACCGAATAATACTTTTACCTGACACGAAATGCGTTACCCGGCAACACTACGACTCTGAAGGAGGGGTAGTTGCCGGTATCGCATTGAGTGTCAGGTAAAAGTATTAGGTAATCCCGAAACATCGAGTTGTATTCAAAAGATTATACAAGGAAATAAAGTACATATATTTTGCCATTTTGTAATAAGAATTGACGGGATATTTTGTGAAACTGACAGAAATGACTTCTGAATTAATATTTCAAAAAATTACAATATTACAATATGGCCACCAAGCGATAATCACTTAAATGATTATCACTTATTAATCACATCCTTCTATATAGGATAGGAAAAATATAATAGAGTTGTATAATCATATATTATATCACGAGACCTATAAATTTAATCGATTAAACTATTCAAATATATTTCGCGCGTGATTTTGCTTGGAAAATACCGTATGATCGAAAAAAAAATGGCGTCCAGTTAGCTTGGAAATGACGATCGATGACATTTCCCATATAATTTTACATATAAAATGACAGCGATCTTCATTTCATAGCCATCGCTGACGCCGTTTTTATTCGATCATACGGTAGTTGAATGCACAATAATTTAATAAAAACGCGAGACCGCGAAGCGGTTGAGGGTTTTTATTCTAAAATTATTGTGCATAAAACTATTTTCTAAAAAGCAAAATCAAGCAAAAACTATGTTAACTATAAAATTTAACATTTTCGGACATTTTTTTTTCACTACAGCGGCAGCGGTAAATAAAATTTAAAGACGTTTCAAAATGACGTTTCGTAAGTAATGTTTGTGCTTCTATTACCTTGATTACGCATCCCAACAATGCTTCGAGGACCGTTTCGCATGTCAACATATCAAATTCTGTCGTATTTTTCTCCACTTATTTTTTGTTCAAAATAATATCGAATAAGGGGTTTTCACCGATTAAAAACGTTATTAAGTCATGCATATGAGTTGTAAATCAATGTTTTTAAATGAACTGTTGCCAAAATCTCTCAGAATTAGTTATAAACGACAAAAAGAAAACCCAAAAGGAAGTGGAAAAAATAATCGCGGTTAAACTGGTCTTGGGATTAATCACTTATCTAAACAAAATTTATTCGAAAAATTAGGTTAGCTGATAAACGAAGAAAAAACATACGTAATTGAAAATCCACATCAAACAATATAAACCAACTTAACTGAATTTGAAAAAAGGCTTATATTTTTGAAATAATAATGCAATAAAAATAACCCTGTATAAGAAAATTGTAATTTTTTCTTCACGGATTTATTGTTAACCTTAGTGTTTAGGAAAACATAACGAAGTATCAATAAATTTAAATCCGTTCCAGTTTTTAGCCACTTTTCCGATAGACTGTTTTTAGTAAAATAGTATACTATATGGAAAATTTTATGCTGAGACCAATTCTGTGCGGAAAAATGGTTGTTGCTATTTAAAAAATTTACATTCATCATCATCATCATTATCACATTTCAGCCTATTCATCCGTTTCCGGTAAAAAGTATTGGACTCTCGGCTAATGGACTACCCTGTAATGTAACATTGACATTACTGACTTTTAAGTGTCACATCATCTACTTTTCCTCTTCCATTTCGTCACTCCTTTCCCTCGCCGAATTTGCTCTTACTTTTTAGTTTGAAATTCAGAATTGATAAAAGTCCATGTTCACATGCTTCATTAGCTTTAAAGGTTTGCACCGCACGTAAAAACAAACACAATTTTGACATTTGCATTGTATTTTCTCGCTTTCAAAATAAAAATGTCGTAGATTCAACGTGGTTGAAACCTTTGCTGTTAAAACAGCAAAATAAACCACTAATTCACAACAATACACCAAAACACTTTACTTATAACACTGGTCTATCTTTGTGGTGATTTAGTGTTTTACTTGCCAAAATAGTATAGAAACATTGGATGAAAGTATTCATTATTAAAGAATATACGGAGTATAAATAAATACTGGCGAAAAAAGTTCAGAAAATTATTGTTCATTTAATTTTTAGAAAATAATGCAGAATTTTCATTTAGAGATATAAATTTCGTTTTTTAGGTAAATTTGTTCCAAAACGACAACTTGATTGACACGTATAGTCAGCCATTTGGAATCCGTAAATTGACATATGATAATGACACTTTTACGATCAACGGAAAAAATATCTACATCAAAGGTAAATATCTTTAGTAACAATTGAATTAAATCAATATCTCCATTCAACACAATACCACAAAACACTGTACTTTGCACTGAACACGCGTTTCGCTAACCATCTTAGCAACATCAGCAGATTATTAAAACTAAACTAATATGTACAAATTGAGCGTTTATACAGGCGCTCAGTTGGCGCTGACCAAGCGAGGCGAAACTAGCCAAGCGCGTCAAAACCAACCGAACGTAACCATTAACAGAAATTAGAGCAATAGGAACAGAGAATAGTAGTATATACCATAATAGTAATATCTATCGTCCTTTTCGACAATATGCTGAGCACCGCAAGATTTATCCGTTCTACCATATCTTATCTGAGCGATATTCTTCTTCTGAGCCAGAGTTATTTAATCTAGTTAATATTGGTCTTCTAGTTTGCGCAGCATATTTCTGATTACAATCTTTACATTAAATTTCATAAATACCCGATCTTTATGTTGTATTTTATTATTAGCACTATACATAAGTTTATGACATTCTTGAAAATTATGTTTAAACCACGGGGTAACTATCTATCAAACGGTATTGATGTATATTTTTAATCTAATTATTTTACCAATCTAATTATCTTTCGTTGGATAGTTTTGCTACGCTTGGTCAGTGCCAACTGAGCGCCTATATAAACGTTCAGTTTGTAGATATTAGTTTAGTTTTAATCATTTGCCAATGATGCTAACATGGTTAGCAAAACGCGCGTTCAGTACAAAAGTAAAGTGTTTTAAACAATCTCCAACTGTAATTCTCTTAGGTTTTGGTCGCCATGAAGACTCAGATATTCGTGGAAAAGGATTGGATTTACCCTTGATCATCAGAGATCACAACCTGATCAAATGGATAGGAGCCAATTGCTATAGAACATCTCACTATCCTTACGCCGAAGAAATCATGGATTTGGCTGATCAGCTTGGAATCATGATCATTGACGAAGTACCAGCTGTTAATACAGAGTATTTAATATTAAGATAAAGGTATTTTGATATATTTATTGTTGAATTTTGATTTATAGGAATTTCAATAATGGTTTATTAGAAAACCATAAAAAATCTTTGAACGAGTTGTACAGCAGAGATAAAAATAGGCCTTCCGTTGTGATATGGTCTATTGCCAACGAACCTAGAAGTAGCTCTGATGGAGCAGACATTTATTACAAGTAAAAATAATATTTTCACTAAAATTGACAATAGATAAGAAAATTCAAACGTCACGAAAGTATTAATTTTTGCGGCGTGAATGACAATATAAAAAAATCACTTTAACGTCTAGGCATAAAAGTAAAGCACTTTTATGTCTAAGCATAAAATTAACACGTTGAGGGGCGCTGACGACTTACGGCGTCCAAATGAATTTGATAAACATTGGCACTACGCCGTACTGCGTGATTACTTTCTTAGCAGATTAGAGCAGTACGCCGTACAGCGGCGACGTTTTCATATAAGATACATATATCCCCACCCTACTGCCGCATTTAACAGAAACGTAAACAAACCAGTGTTCTTTTACCGTACCCCCTCCGCATTTCAATAATGACGTGATCATGCCGACGCGGGAAATGTCGAGGCACAACGCCGATCTGCGTCCAACGCATCATCATTCGTAGTACGGCCGTGAAAAGTAGTGTCCGTTTTAGCAACAGTTGTTTATTTACCTGGCGTATTTCGCAAAGTAAGGTAAGTACATTGCTTTTTAGTATTGTTTTACGTTTTGTTACATTCTTAACTTGCCATCGAATATGTGTACTGTGATTTCCCCTATTTCTAAGTCATCAAATGTCGGGAATATTGCTTATTTATTTATGAAGCAGGAGAAAGCAGAATGTATTTTACCAATATTAGTTAGATTTTCTTTTCCTTTCCTTTCCGTTTGCCTATATTCCCTACCTGCCATGAAACGTGTGTTAGATAATTTTGCTCTATTTCTAAGTTATTTATTTGTAAATAAATTAGGGGAACTCAGGGCAGATATTATTTAGATGTTGGTTGTGTCTCTTCAGCAGTTTTGCAGGCTGTTTATTCCATTTCAGATGGATCCATATCAACGAGAGCAAGAAAGACTTTCTCGGCTCTTCGACGAAGTTGTAACCAGCGAAGAGGAGGAAGAAGAGGATCCTTATGCTGACGTAGACGGGGAATATGGATCTGATAAAGACTATCAACCAGATGATGAGTCCTCTACATCATTAGAAGAGGACGAATCAAATAGCTCTGTACCAGATATAGGATCCCAGCCGTCTGACCCTGAGGTAGAAGAAGAGTGGGAAACTACCACGGCTCCTATACCAGATTTCCACTTTGATGAAAGTACAGTTGGTGTCAAAGTAAATATTGATCCCAACTCAACTCCGCTTGAAGTTGCACAACTTTTTATAACACCGAACATCCTCGATTACATTATTGGATGTACAAATAATTATGGTACGGTTTTAGCAGCTGGTTCCAAGACAAAAACAAGAAGGTCGAGAAATGCATATTTTCGTACCGTTACAGTGGATGAGATGAAACAATTTCTAGGTCTGTGCCTATTACAAGGGCAAATATCTACCTCAAACATGCGTCGCTATTTTTCCCATAAAGATATCCTCTATTTTCACCCCATCTTCAGTCATGTGATGTCTGGTAGGCGTTTTGAGCAGTTACTTAGGTTTGTGTGCTGTTCTCCTCTCGAATCCAAAGGTAAAGAGAAAGTGCAACATTTGATAGACATGGTCATTTCTCAATGTCAAGCAATTTATGGACCGAGTAAGGAACTTTCAATTGATGAAAGCCTATTGCATTTTCGAGGTAGACTTGGATTCAGGGTTTACATCAAAGGGAAGAAATCACGATACGGAATAAAGTTCTTTGAACTTACTACTTTTGATGGCTACCTCCTAAATATGGAAATGTATGGTGGTGCAATAAATAACACTGATTTTGAAAGTTCTAAAGTTGGGTCATTAGTAATCAGGCTGATGAAGCCCTACCTTTCAAAGGGGCATGAGTTATACATGGATAACTTCTATAATAGTATTGACCTTTCTAACAAACTTCTAGACTTGAAGACTCACTCAAATGGTACCCTCCGAGCGAACAGGAAGGGAAATCCAAAACAACTAGTTCAAAAGAAGCTGAAAAAGGGGGATCATTTTTGGGTAAGAAAAAAGCAGGTATACGTTTCAAAGTGGAAAGACAAGCGTGATGTACTTGTTATAACAACTCGGAATCATCCACGTCTAATATCCGTAAAAATCGATATGGGAAAGAAAAACCAAGCCCGAGGAAGTTAGTTCATATAATAACTATATGTCAGGTATTGACCGCCTTGATCAGATGACCTCAACCTACTCATCACCGAGAAAGACCATTCGTTGGTATAAAAAGGTCATTTTCCATCTTCTCGATATTTGTGTATGGAATGCATATTACGTCTACCGCAAGTATTGTAACAGAAGTTGTAAATTTATAGAATTTAGAGATCAACTTATCAAGAGCCTTCTAAAAATTGACCCCAATATAGAAGCAAGACAACTAATGACCCGCCACAAGCACAATCCCAGGCGAAACGACACCACTTCGAATGAAGCTAATTTCGAAACCAGAAGCACGACAAATCATTGGCCTGAAAAGAATCCCGGCACTCTTGGACCAAATTCTAAGAAGAAATCTGTTTTCCTACGGTGTAAAATGTGCTCCAAAAAAGGGATTCGCAAAGAATCCAGCTACAGATGCAAAGGATGTCTTCAAAAACCGACGTTGTGCCCTGATTGTTTTGAGGAATGGCACCAAAATTAGATAAGTAATTTTCTTGTGTAAAGTTTTCAAAAAATAAATTACTGACAATCTGGCACCCTTTGTTTAGAAATTTATAAATTTGTTCAACGCCGCACAGCGTCTGTGCTTTTTTGAACAACATATTATGTCTCAAATTAAACACAACGCCGATCGGCGTCGCTCAAAAAAATAAAAAATATGGTGGAAATATATTTGTTTTGGCCTTTTTATGTATTAAAACCTCTATTTTGCTGCCTAATCTACTATTTTCTGATAAAAAAAGGTAGTGTATGAATTTGCATTTTTTTTTAAATGGCTAGCGCCCTTCAACGTGTTAAGAAAATATGTTATTAACCTGACATAAAGTGTCAAATTCAACGAGCCGCAACCATAGTTCCTCGATATATAATTACATACAAGGTATTACTTTTAAATCTTTTTAATTATTTGGAACGTTTAAAATTTATTAAAAAATGATTTGTGACGTTTGAAAAAAAGAACAGAATGTTATATTCGGAGTAAAAATGACTTTTGTGCATGCCTATAATGTCGGTAAAACGTACAGCCTTGCCACAAAAAGTATCATTTTTACTCATAATAAAACAGTATACCATTTAACACTAATATTGACTATAGATATTTTTTTCAAACGTCACAAAAGTATTAATTTTTGCGTCGTGATTGACAATATAAAAACGTCATTTTAACGCCTAGGCTATGGCCTAGGTATAAAAGTAAAGCACTTTTACGCCTAAGCACAAGAATACGATTTTAAAACGGCAAGGAAGATATATGCCACTCAATCAAATCATCAAACTTACCAACATAAATGTGATAATAAAGAAATAAAAAAGACTTACAAATAAATAATAAAAGTAATAAGTATATAGAATTAAAGATGATCCTAGATATTTATAGAATAGTTTCAACTGTTGTAGAGCCGTGTTAAAACTTATCAAAATAAAACACTAAATCACCACAATACACCAAAACACTTTTACTTTTACACTGGACGCGCGTTTCGCTAACCATGTTAGCATCATCAGCAGATGATTATAAACTGAGTAAAAAGTGTTTTGGTGTATTGTGGTGATTTAGTGTTTTCTTTTGCTGTGTAACACCAAAGGTTCCAACCCTCAACTGTAATGTAACCCTCAACTGTAACTTATAAATTAAATATTTTTTAATTTATATACTAACGTAAATTTATAGAAAATCTTTAATGCTGCGTGGTAGCAGTGCTACATTATAGAGATATTCTAATATCAATTATAGGCAGTTCTAAAGCTCTGTATTTGTGACAAACATCATGTTCCTATTAAGAATTATGAGCTACGTTACAAAATATGTTACTAAAATGTTTTTATTAATTTCTATCAGGAAGGTATCTGATCATATGAAGTCTTTGGATAGATCCAGACCAATTACGATTGCAAATTTCTATGGTGTGGACGAAGATAAATCAGTAAGCTTCTATTTTTCAATTTCATTCTCTTTTGTCAAAATTGACATAAAATTTGTCAAAAATTACAAATAATAATTATCAAAAAATAATACAACGTTTCCATCAGACTCACAAATATATTTTCCAAACACAAATTATTTTTAAGTATATTATGTAAAAATCATTTTTACTCAAATAAAAATAAATTACAACCTTTCTAAGGCCAACCGGTACTAAACGGCATTACAAAATGAAGAAGAGTACCTATGGCCCAAGTATTTTCAAGTACGGGCCAAGTACGGTTCAAGCATTCCAATTATTATTTTTAGGAGCAATTTGTAGATATCGTAGGATTTAATCGCTATCAGGCCTGGTATAACAACGTAGGTGAACTTGATGGTATCTACACTAGAATAATAGAAGAGGCCACTGCTTTTCGTAAGAAGCACAATAAGCCTGTTCTTATGACAGAATACGGAGCCGATTCTGTTGAAGGTCTCACTATAGTAAGTTAAAATTACTCCCTTGATTTTAAATCTTTTTGAGTACCGAAATTATCTGTATTTCTCTAGTTGCCTAGTTATATTTGGTCGGAAGAATTCCAAAACGATGTAATGGCACAGTATTTCAGAGCTTTTGACAAGATGAGATCAGAGGGATGGTTTGTCGGCGAGATGATATGGAACTTTGCAGATTTTAAAACCGACCAAGGTACAAAGAAAAACAATATAAATTCCATTATAAATAAACATTTTAGAGCATATTATACAGGGTGAGCTTTCTACGATGCTCTCAATGGGTATCTTAGAAACTACTGGAAGTAGAGAGTCCCTCAAATGGGGAAAGAATTGCAGTTTTGTGAGAACAAACATATGCGCCTTTCGGATTTTTAGACCTTTAGAAAAGTATGTGACACGGACGATATACTATATCAATAATAATTATTTTTGATTCTACCACAAGAAGCGGCTGCTATTAGTTAAAAATTACAAAATTTTCTTTTTTATCTAGATAACTCAAAACTAGCGTACTTATGTAAAATTAAAAAAGAAACAAGATTTTCAAATAAAATGTTTCAAAATTCGGCCAAGAAACCAATTTTTCAGCCATTTATTACTTTAAATGTCAATTTTGACAGATACCCGACAGCGGAGACATTTTTTGATGTCATTTTCAATACAAATTAAAGCAGAAACTGTTGCCGAAGTCAAATTTCACCTAGAATGTAATATGCTTAGGAGGGGGGTTAATCACCGGGACCTTACAGATCTATTGTGATCCCCTTTCTTGAGTTATATCGAGTTATAACCCATCATACAGTCTCAGGGCTTTGACAAAAGGTAGTATCTGAGACGGTTCCTCAGAGGTCAGCTCTCCATTTCAGACATCAGCAGTAGGTACCAAAGTTTATGGCACGAACGGTTGTCTTCTCGGCGCACTCAGTGATGACGTGATGAGGTACTCTGATGTTTCCCTATAGAATATGCATTCGCCGTTGTTTGTCAGTCTCAATCTACTGAGTTGAGTTGTTCGTCGACGAGACAGTTGTCCTTTTAGAAACCCCGTGACAATCCGAAGATTGTTCTTACTTAAATGAAGGAAAATCTTTGATTTTTCTCGGTCTAAGTTCTGAGAAAATTTTTCGAGTGTCTTAGACCGTTGCGTTGGTGGATTCCCATTCCAGGTTACGGATGGAGTCTTCCAGGTTCCTGAGTTCCGTTTTAAGTTGGTTTCCACTTGGAAAGCAGAACAGTTCTGGTCCAGTTAGTGGACTGTTCGCTCCTTTTCTAGCTAGATCGTTTGCTTTATCATTGCTTTTTGTTCCTTGGTAAGCGAGCACCCAGAGTAGGAGAACTTTATTTTCTTTATCTAATTTGTTCATTGTCTATATATTAAAAATACTGCCCTCGTCCTCTGGTAAACGGAACCCCGAAGTATCCGATCATTATATATCAATCTATCTTATTCATGAAGGCTCTCTCGCATAATATTCATATGTTTCATTTTCTCTTATTTATAGATATAAGAAGAGTTGGTGGTAATAGGAAAGGAGTGTTCACTAGAAATCGTCAACCCAAAGCTGCAGCTTTCTTGTTAAGAAAAAGATATTGGGCTTTGGCAAATAAACTGGACAACGCCACGTTGCCAGATGATCTGGACAGATACGTCATAGACAATACCGAAGAAAAGTTACATAATGAATTGTAAAAATATATTTTTAGTGCGAATTAATAATAATAAACGAGTGTAAAAACAATTTTTTTCATCATATTGCATGCACAAGGTAATCCGGCGTTATAAATGAAGCTTTGAAATGAAGTTTCTAGTTTGAGAGATTTTCACTTTATTCACACTATTTTGTCAATGTTTATCACACTATTTTGTCAATGTACAGGGTAAGTCATAGTTTCAAACTAAAGTACAGGGTTAAAGTATATTTTTAATGTGATGTTTCTCAAAAGCGGCTCAATCCTACAACTTCATTATTTTTTTAGATAATAAAACGAAATTTGGTATGTTAGTATATGACATTTGGTATGTTAGCTACATTCCTAATGTAATTTCTGTCTATTTCATATTTTTCATTGGTTAGTTTTGTCACGCTTGGTCAGTGCCAACTGAGCGCCTATATAAACGCTGCTCAATTTATAGATATTAGTTTAGTTTTAACATCTGATGATGCTAACATGGCTAGCATAACGCGCGTCCAGTACAAGAGTAAAGTGTTTTGGTGTATTGTGGTGTTAGTGTTTCAACAACCTCCAACTGTAATTCTCTTAGGTTTTGGTCGCCATAAAGGATTGGACTTGCCCTTGATCATCCGAGATCCACAACCTGATCAAATGGATAGGAGCCGATTGCTATAGAACATCTCACTATGCTTACGCAGAAGAAATCATGGATTTAGCCGATCACCTTGGTATAGTAAATAATCACTGATGAAGTAGCAGCTATTAATACAGAGTATTTAGTATTAAGGCAAAGATATACTAACATATCGATTGTCAATTTTTTTATAGGAATTTCAATAATGGTTTATTAGAAAACCATAAAAAATCATTGAAAGGGTTGTACAGCAGATAAAAATAGGCCTTCCGTTGTGATATGGTCTATTGTCAACACGAACCTAGAAGTAGCACCGATGGAGCAGACACTTATTACAAGTAAAAATAATATTTTTACTAAAATTCACAATAGATAAAAAAATTCAAATGTCACAGAAGTATTAATTTTTGCGACGTGATTGACAATATAAAATAGTATATTGTTTTATTAGGAGTAAAAATGACACTTTTGTGGCGAAGCTGTACGTACGACATCCAGGCGAGCCACAAAGTCATTTTTACTCCGAATACAACAACATGCTATTTTTTCAAAGGCCACAAATAATTTTTTAAGCAATTTCAAACGTCCCAAATAAAATAAAAATATTTAAAAGTAATACCTTGTCTGCATAGATAAAATGTAATTATATCAAGAAACTATGGTTAAGCTAGTTGAATGTTGAATTTGACACTTCATGTCAGTTTAATATTTTCGTACTCTCGTGCTTAGGACGTAAGAGTGCTTCATTTTTATTCAAACGTACAGCCTCGGCACAAAAAGTCATCATTTTTAGGGTTCCGTACCCAAAGGGTAAAAACAGGAACCCTATTACTAAGACTTCGCTGTCCGTCCGTCCGTCCGTCCGTCTGTCACAAAGGTCTATCTTATGATCCGTTATAGCTAGACAGTTGAAATTTTTACAGATAATGTATCTATGTTGCCGCTATAAGAACAAATACTAAAAACAGAATTAAATAAATGTTTATAAATAAAAAAGTACCTTCACTAAACATTATCTTTTAAGTAAGAATTTTACATAGAATAGGCCGCGTGGTTCAAGCGTTAGGACTTTACGCTGCTATGACTAAAGCTTGATTTTCATGCATCCGTTGTCCGACGATACGATGATACGATATTAATTTTATTGGTTGAATTTAAAGACTTCGGTTGGTTAGAAACGGTTAACCAATCGAAGCCTTTAAATACAACCAATGAAATTAATATCGTATCAACGTATCGTCGGACAACGGATGCATGAAAATCAAGCTTTAGGCAGGTTGTAAGGCAGGTTCGAATCCTAGTCAAGGCGACTTTTTTTCAATCGTTTTTTTTTTTAATTTTTACATATTTTTACATATTTATTTTTATTTTTTACATATTTATTATTGATTAATAATACAATTTTTAGTAGTGTTTCTTCATTTTTTTTTAAATTGCTTATACGCGCATTCAAAATTTCAGCTAAATCGGAAAAAAAAGTTTATAATAATATCACAGATAATATATAGTGTCTAATGTTGTATAGATAATGAATGGTACGGAACTCTTCGTGCGCGAGTCCGACTCGCACTTTACCAATTTTTTTACCATACTCCATCCCTAATTCGTGGTACGAAAATTGTTTTTTATGACGATGAGCAAACGAGTAAAATTTTCTGTGCGCAAAAATAAACTCGCGTAAAATAACAATAAACAGCGTAATAGAGAGATATCGCTAAACCGAATAGCGTGCATGGACGTTAATAAGGCCAGGTGTTATTTCCTTTACGTGAGGTGGTATTAACTCTCTTCATTTATAGTTATCGGATCGGAAAGAATTCTGTTCGCGTCGCGTCCGCTATTTAAACTTAACCTAACTTTGAATTTAAAACTTTGAAATTGTTTTGTTTGCTAGGTATTTTAAAACTAAAGGGCTAAAGTGCTTATTTTCAGTGCTTCATTGTTCAACGTCTGCCAGTGGGTTTAGGGCAACAAGCAACAAATTTTCTTAGAAGGGCTAAGTCGTCATCTGCTGTAAACCTAAACCTCTTTATAGGTTCTTTAATATTGGAAGAGGTGGAATCCATATTTTGGGCCATATTTATTTAATTAAATTTAATCCCAGTTACTTAAATATCAAATTACCTAATAAAACTAAAGTAATCATTCAAAACAATTCAAACATAACTTAAAATAAAAGATCTCGCCGCTCGCCGGCCGGCCCCGGTTTTCAAGTGTACCCGCACATGCCCATTTAAGCAATTTTAAAAAAAAAACGTTATTTAGAAATAGCGCTTGGTCTAATTAATCCGCAAATTACGTCAGGCGGTAACGTTATTAGCGGGTGTTGCGTTAAAAATTGACTCGCGCATATCGTAACCATGATAAGGTACGCGTAAATACTGCATGACGCTATTCGGTTTTCCGATATCTCTCTAATAACTGTGCCGGTCAGGCGCTGTGCACAATTTTAGGGACCATAAGTGGGCGTACTATGTGCGCAAACTAGTAACCTAACTAGTGCCCGATTCCGAAAATTGGAACCACGAAAAACTATAAAGAAAAAACAAAGTTTCTAATCTGTATGATCTGTGCTTTCACTTTAAACTTATTTAGCTGTTTTAGACAAATGTTAAAATCATTTTAAAAATCCTAGATATTTATACGCTCAGATGCAAAATAACGCAACGGAGAAATTTTTGGTCAAAACAGAAATATAGCACTTTAAATTCGACCAAAAATGTCTCGGTTGTATTTTGCATCTGAGTGTAGAATAGTTTTAGTTGTTGTAGAGCTATGTTAGAACTTTTAAATTAATTATTTTTAAATTTATATGCTAATGTAAATTTATGGAAAATGTATAGTGCTGCGTGGTAGCAGTGCTAGACCTTATAGCGTTATTCTAATAGCAATTTTAGCAGTTCCAAAGCTCTATATTTGTGGCAAAAATCATGTTCCTATTAAGAACTATGAGTTATGTTACAAAATATGTCACTAAAATGTTTTTATTAATTTCTATCAGGAAGGTATCTGATCATATGAAGTCTTTGGATAGATCCAGGCCAATTACGATTGCAAATTTATATGATGTGGACGAAGATAAATCAGTAAGCTTCTATTTTTCAATTTCATTATCTAATATCTATCTAAATTTCATGTTAGCTGTGCTTAATAGTAGGGGAGTCCAAACGGGGAATATCTCAATACGCTCAAACATTTCTTTGTGCCTTTTTTACATTTTTGAAAGTATGTACACACTCCCCACCAATAAAGGAGCATACTTATTCATAAAACATTTACTTTTCCTTTTTAAATTTCACAATACAATAGGTCCCCGTGACACTCGAGTAAAACCCCATTTACCATCTTTGCCTCCCCTACTATATGGTTGATATACAGGGTGTCCCAGGCTGAGCGTGCATTAGAAGTTTCTAGAGAATCACAATATCTAGATCGGAGATTTTTTGCACATCATTCTTTTACAACGAGATCTATCGATTTAAAATATTTTCAATATGGCGGCACTTCCGGAAATACCGGAAGTTGACAGCAACTTTCTTACAGTTGAGGGTTGGAACCTTTGGTGTTAAACAGCAAAATAAAAACACTAAATTTTGGTGTATTGAGGTGATTTAGTGTTTTTATTTTGTTTAGCAACTTTCTTATTTTAAATGGGTACCCCCATTTTTTATTACACATTTAAATTCTCTGTCAGATTTTATTGAATTTTGATATTATACCTAACATTAACCATTTTTGAGAAAAAAATATTTAAAATTTTTGGACGAAAAAATCTCCCTGTCAAAAAGATTTGTAATTATATCGCATAAAAGTCAAATTTAGTGATTACCACAGCCACTGTGACATAAAGAGAAGACATGTGGCTATCTATTTCAAAGATTAAATTGTTCAAATGTCATATAATAATGGCAGTATCTGTCATGGAGTAGAGCGATAAAAAAATTATCATAAATATTTTTTTTCAAATGGAAACCTACTCTTTTTACTTCACTAGTGCAAAGGTTTTCTAATCCGTTACTTTTTGAGTATACATGTTCCTATACCTAAAATAAATCGTTTTTAAGTTATTTAAGATTTAGTTTGAAAACATATATTTTCCTTGATTTTATCTAGCTTCCTTTGACATTAAGTGTCAAACAGTCAGAAAATTTATTTCCATCTGTCAGAAAACGAATTATGTGAATTTTCTATATTATAAATACTGCCTGCCCCTTAAAAGTTTAAAAAGTGTATTTATAAAAATATATCTCGTATTTTCACTCTTTAGTGATATCCTAATAGTTGATATTATTAATAATATACCGTATGATCGCAAAAAAAAACAGAGCAAAGATGGCTTGGAAATGATGATCGATCAATGCCTTCTATTAAAAGATCAGCCTACGGGCGGAATTTTGTTTACTTCATCAGCTGTACATACTTAGATATTGGGTTAGATTCCGTTTCATATTTTGTCGGTTGATTTTTGGTTTTAACTCTTTGATTTTTGGTATTATTTATTATTGTAGTGCAAAAAACTAATTATTTTGGTGTTGAAGTGACATAAACTACTACCAGATATATGGTCACTCTCGGTTTCGCACAAAAAAATAGAAATTTTAAAAATTACACGTTGTGCAAGTGATTTAACCTAAAAGTGCCCATACATTTTTTACTTATCGTGATTTTTGTGTGTGTTTTTTAAGACTCTAACAATTCATCAATAAAGCTTAAGTGGAGTGTGTTATTGGTGCTATGCCTCATCTTTGTTGTGTTCCTGGTGGAAAGAATGGTTACTAAGGATAGTTATTATACTAGGCAGCCTAAAGTGTCCGGAAGAGCAAGAAAAGTGGGTACGAGTTATAAATCAAGAGAATTTTATTGAAAATATCTTTAATAAATTTAAAAATAATATTCTCCCATGATGGTATTAATGAAAACTGGACAATTATGTTTATTTTATTCATATTGTGGAATCTCCACTCCAAGTGTTGCTGGTTCAGCTTCGATAGATTCAAACACGTAAGTAGGTATTATGATCAAGGGAAAAATAAAGAATATGTGTATTAGAGATCATGAAAAAGATTATTATTTTGAGTTCAAATTTTAAAAAAGATTTTTGTAAAGACAAGACTGATACAGTTTAAAAGAAGAATGTGTTTTTGTTTGATAATATATAATGTATGTTAAGCATAACATATATTTGTTCAGTAATTTTAATGAATAGTATTGATTATTTATAATACCAAATTAATATCAAATATTTAAGTGATGGCTGAATACAATATGAATAAAATAACAATAAAATTGGTATATTTGCATAATACAAAATTAAGTTTTAAGAATAAAGGTGTTACTAAAAATACTAAGAAATTCATATTTCTTTGTTTTAATTGGTCTAATGTTATTTACATTTTACGTAAGAATTATACCGTATCATCGAAAAAATCGGCGTCTAGTTGGCTTGGAAATGAACATCGATGACATTCCCTAAATAACTGTACACATAAAATAATTAACTAGAATTTTACAATCTTGGAAAATTTGATATTCTTGAACCTTGATTCTAAATATTTCTAAATTTTTGATTTTCTTGGAATTTAGGTTCGGGAAAAACGCTGATTGATTTTTTATTTGGTTTTTCATTATTTTTATTTGGTTTAAAAAAAAAAAAACGGTTCGGCTAACATTATAGCCTCCATCAGTGTTGTGTCATATGAAAAAATAGTGTCGAATATAATCCAAAAATTGCATATAAAATATGCACACCACGCACATAATGTTTACTGCGTACTCCATAGTCAATGTAGATAATTTTAGTGTTAAGAATAATAATTTTAAAAAATATGTGGTCATCTTTTGATAAGTTTATATTAGTTTATTAATTGCAGTAAACATTATGAGGTGTGAATTATATTGTATATGTAATTTTTTGGATTATATTCGACACTATTTTTCTCATATGACACAACACTGTGAAGGCTATAGTTAGCCGAAACGTTTTTTTTAAACCAAATAAAAATAATGAAAACTTAATCAGCGTTTTTCCCGAACCTAAAAATCCCAAGAAAATCAAAAATTTTAGAATAATTTAACATATAAAATGCCAGCGATCTTCATTTCATAGCCATCGCTGACGCCTTTTTAGATAATATTGTATTATTTGTAAATATAATTTTTCGAACATTGATACTTGCAAAATATACATATAAATTTTGTGAATGCAAATAATAATACATCACTATTAGTAGATATTCAATGTTTTTGTTAAATTAGATCGATTTTCAAACCCCAAAATTTAAAATATATTTACATTTTACCCATTATCTTATGTACCTATACATTATTTGTACATTGTAAAACATTTGCTGCATATGTATGGTTCATAGTTTATTTGCCAAAGTATTTATTACTATAAATAGGTATATATGTTGTAGTTATTAACTGTATATTATGTATATTTCATTTAAACTATATCATTTTTAAAATACAAACCAAAAATCTGAGGAATAATTATGTTTTCCATGTATTCTACAACATATTTATTAATCCGTTATATCTAACTAGCGTGACGTCATAAATCTCGCCCGTAGGCTGATCTTTTAATAGAAGGCATTGGATCGATAACATACTGCCAAGGATATATAGAATAAGGATATTTGACTGGCCCAAAAAAAACGTGCCGTATTTTGTCGAGGAAGACGATTTCGTCACGACCAATGGGCGTCGAGTATTTGAAATTGAAAACATATAAATTGACGGTAACCTATGTTTTTTGACTCATTTCACTGACAAATGTGATGAGATTGTTATTGTAATTTATAGATCCAAAATCCAAACGTTTTTTGAATAAATAATTTATTTTAAAGTTATTTCCTAGAGGTTTGGTTTGGCCTTCTATATTCTGGTATTTGTCTACTAATAAATAATATCTTATTTTGTATTTCGATGTATGGAAATCCGCAAGTTTTGTATCTGAAACCGCAAAGAAATTTCGCTCTATAGTGAGAAAAATGTTATATCTTTTTAGACGCGTAGAATAACAAAATTTCTCATTTCAGATGTTCTAAATGTGAGTGCTTAATGTCAAAAATTAAAATATATACTTGAAATATTTCAAGTTATACCCTTTGCCCTTTGGAAGTAAACAAATATTGAAGAAAGTGTTGTGCCTTCACAGAATTTAAATTAGCATTAGGAATAGATTTCCTTGATTTAGTAATGATATTGCTCATAGAAATTGATAATATACTATTTTATATTCACTCGTTCAAGTGCTGATCTATTTTTAAATTGAATATTTATGTAAGTATTATGTATAACACGATATAAATAATTTAAGGACATAAGAAATTAAAATTTCAAGTGCCAATATTGATTATTTTTCCAGTTTTATTCAAATATATTGAAATTAATATGGAAACAAAAGTTCATAAATATTAGTTTGAAAAGCCGTGTCAGAAGAGTAGGATTAAAGACAAAGTATTAAGGTAACATATATTTGCATAAAGTTTTAATAACACTGACAATTTTATTTGTTTATGTTTATTAATTAAAATTTAGTTGCAATTTATTTCATATTCTAATATTTTTGAGAAAATTTTACTTAGATACATACCTGAATATTATGCTGCTTTTTTATTTTAAAGTGTGCCGACTGTGCTGTTATTTTTATACTAGTAATATTGTATACTGTAGGTATCGTATTCATATATAGTTATATATATATATCAGTAGTATAGATACTTACTTTCTTTCTATGTGTACTTATATCCTTTATAGTCTTTCTAAGTGCATATAATACTACTTTTTTAAGAGAAGGCAGTTTTTAATAATCTATTGTTAATTCCCCTAATTCTGTGTCCCCTGGTTCTGCTATACAACAATTATATATTTTTTTATCATTACTGATTTTAAAAGTTTCTTTTCAAAGAATTTGACCATATATTTTTTTTTCAGAGTAATTGGGCTGTTCCTGAACAATATTGAATATAAATATTCAAAAATATGATAAACTGCATATCCTACTAAGTAGATCAATACCAAAATTCCATTAGAGAAATAAGTTAAAATTATGTTTTACTTGTATAATTTTCTTGCTATTTGTCCACCATTATTTGTGACTTAGAAATTAAATAGTCAAAAAGAATTTAGTACCAGTTTTTATTTCCCAAAAAAAATAATTGTTAAATAATTACATATTGCTTAAGATACAGTATATTATATTGTGTTTATAGTTGATAATTCTAGTTCTTAGTTGTTTATAGTTGATAATTAACAATATTTCTGATGTTAGATATTATATTAGATAAAAAATTTAATTACCAACAGCTACCTACCTATGTAGCTGCAGATTATTATATTGTGTAGTAGGTACTGTATAATTCTTTAGTTCAAGAAACAAATATCAGTACAAGTATATAACCAAAAAAATGTTGATGCAAATTCTTTGTATAACATACGTACCCCTATGGTATTCAACTTTTCATTGTTCTTTTAATTAGATACACAATAAGCACATTAATTCGTTTATTAAACAACCAAAACTAACTACTTAAATTCACAATAAATGTATAAGCTTTGATCAATTCCTATTATTAATACCGGACGACTTCATACTTTATAACTACCAATGGCTATCCTACTAACACACTAGCCAACTAATAAAAAAATACAACATAAAGACATCGTTATTGCAATAATATAGAAATATATTCCATGTATCATTAACTACCTATAAATACAATACCCACATCTTCTTTTACGCGAATAGTGCGTTAGGAGGCAGAAATATTGCCTACATTGTACATCGTACAAATTGGCTAGAATTTATTAATATCCATTGCAAACATTTCTCTTTCAAAGGGTCTAAATGTTTTGTCTTTTTACTGTGTCCCTGTAATATGTTATCAATTAACAACAGTTATCAAATATGACCTGGACAATAATAATTGTTTTACCTTTTTTTCAAACTAAACTCTTTAAACAAACTATATAAATAAAATTTATCTCATAACCTAACTTGCTGCTAGAGTTTCTTTCTTGTTATTCTATGTTCCTGTATTGTTATTCTTCACATTATCAATTTCTATGAGCAATATCATTACTAAATCAAGGAAATCTACTCCTAATGCCAATTTAAATTCTGTGAAGGCACAACACTTTCTTCAATATTTGTTTACTTCCAAAAAATGTCAAAGCATATAACTTGAAATAATATTTCAAGTATATATTTAAATTTTTGACATGCACTCACATTTAGAACATCTGAAATAAGAAATTTTGTAATTCTACACGTCTAAAAAGATATAATAACATTTTTCTCACTATGGAGCGAAATTTCTTTGCGGCTTCAGATACAAAACTTGCGGATTTCCATACATCGAAATACAAAATATGATATTATTTATTAGTAGACAAATACCAGAATATAGAAGGCCAAACCAAACTCTAGGAAATAACTTTAAAATACATTATTTTTTCAAAAAACGTTTGGATCTATAAAATACAATAATAAAGTGATAATATGGTGATAATAGTCTCATCACATCTGTCAGTGAAATGAGTCGAAAAACATAGGTTACCGTCAATTTATATGTTTTCAATTTCAAATACTCGACGCTCATTGGTCGTGACGAAATCGTCTTCCTCGACAAAATACGGCATATTTTCCAACATAGCCCGCTATAGGGAGTTGAATATCCTTCTTCTATATATCCTTGCATACTGCTTTTTGAACAAAGTGGCACAATATGACATGGCCAGATCTATTGTTTTACATCACTTGACGTTTAAAGTCATAGGCTACTGGCTAAAATCAAGAAAAATATACGCTTTAAAACTAAATCTTAAATAACTTATATTAACTTATATAGTCAAAAAGTAACAAATTGAAAACCCTTTTCACTAGTGAAAGAAAAAAAGTGGGTTTCCATTTAAAAAAAATTATTTATGATAATTTTTGAATCACTCAATTCTATGACAGCTGCGGTCATTATTATATGACATTCAAACAATTTCATTTTTGAAATTGATAGCCACGTGTCTTCTTTTTATGTCACAGTGACTGTGGTAATCACTAAAGTTGACGTTTAGGCTATACACTTATTTTTGACAGGCAGTTTTTTTTCGTTCTACAATTTTAAATTTTTTTTTTCTCAAAAACTGTCAATGTTAGATATACAGTGTTTAATATCAAAATTCATAAAATTTTACAAACAATTTAAATATGTAATAAAAAATGGGGGCACCCATTTAAAATAAGAAAGTTGCTGTCAACTTCCGGTATTTCCGGAAGTGCCGCCATATTGAAAATATTTTTAATCGATAGATCTCGTTGTTGAACAATGATGTGCAAAAAATCTCCGAGCTAGATGTTATAGTTCTCTAGAAACTTCTAATGAACGTCAGCTTGGGATACCCTGCATACCGTATGATAAAAAAAATCGGCGTCAAAGACGGCTGGAGAATGAAAATCGATGATAATTTTGGCGAGGTCAATCTCTAGACGTCATTTACTAAAAATTGACACAAAGCTTGTCAAAAATTAACAATAATTATCAATATAAAAATAAATTACAACCTTCTTAAAGCCAACTGGCACAATATAAACGGCATAACGAAATACAGGAGAGTACGAGCCAAGTAAATTACGTCTAGAGCTTGACCTCGCCAAAATTATCGATTGTCATTCGTATTGTAATTTTTAGGAGCAATTTGTAGATATCGTAGGATTTAATCGCTATGAGGCCTGGTATAGCAACGTAGGTGAACTTGATGGTATCTACACTAGGTTAATAGAAGATACCACTGCTTTTCGTAAGAAGCACAATAAGCCTGTTCTTATGACAGAATACGGAGCCGATTCTGTTGAAGGTCTCACTATAGTAAGTCAAAATTACCACCTTGATTTTAAATCTTTTTGACTACTGAAATTATCTGTATTTTTCTAGTTGCCTAGTTATATTTGGTCGGAAGAATTTCAAAACGATGTAATGGCACAGTATTTCAGAGCTTTTGACAAGATGAGATCGGAGGGATGGTTTGTCGGCGAGATGATATGGAATTTTGCAGATTTTAAAACCGACCAAGGTACAAAGAAAAACAATATAAATTCCCTTATAAATAAACACTTTAGAGCATATACAGGGTAAGCTTTCTACGATGCTCTCTATGGGTATCTTAGAAACTACTGGAGCTAGAGAGTCCGTTAAATCGGGAAAGAATTGCAGTTTTATGAGAACAAACATATGCGCCTTTCAGATTTTTAGACCTTTAGAAAAGTATGTGACACGGACGATATACTATCAATAATAATTATTTTTGATTCTACCACAAGAATCGGCTGCTATTGGTTAAAAATTACGAAATTTTATTAAGCCTTTCGGATTTTTAGACCTTTAGAAAAGTATGTGACACGGACGATATACTATCAATAATAATTATTTTTGATTCTACCACAAGAATCGGCTATTGGTTAAAAATTACGAAATTTTCTTTTTTATCTAGATAACTCAAAACTAGCGTACTTATGTAAAATTAAAAAAGAAACAAGATTTTCAAATAAAATGTTTTGAAATTCGGCCAAAAAAACAATTTTTAAGCCATTTATTACTTTAAATGTCAATTTTGACAGATACCCGGCAGCGACAGGCGACATTTTTTTATGTCATTTTCAATACAAATTAAAGCAGAAACTGTTGCCGAAGTAAAATTTCACCTAGAATGTAGAATGCTTAGGAGGGGGATTAATCACCGCGACCTTACAGATCTATTGTGATCCCCTTTCTTGAGTTATAACGAGTTATAAGTCATCATACAGTCTCAGGGCTTTGACAAAAACTAGTATCTGAGAAGGCTTCACAGAGGAGACAGCTCTCCATCTCCGACATCAGCAGTACCAAAGTTTATGGCACGAACGGTTGTCGTCTCGGCGCACGCAGTGATGAGTTATTCTGATGTTTCCCAATAGAATATGCATTCGCCGTTGTTTCTCAATTTCAATCTACTGATTTGTTCGTCGAGTCTCCTTTTAGAAACCCCGTGACTATCCGAAGATTGTTCTTACTTAAATGAAGGAAAATCTTTTATTTTTATCGGTCTAAGTTCTGAGAAAAATTTTCGAGTGTCTTAGACGGGGGGGTTGGTGGATTCCCATTCCAGGTTACGGATGGAGTCTTCCAGGTTCTTGAGTTCCGTTTTAAGGTGGTTTCCACTTGGAAAGCAGAACAGTTCTGGTCCAGTTAGTGGACTGTTCGCTCTTTTTCTAGCTAGATCGTTTGCTGTATCGTTGCCATCTATCCCTTGGTAAGCGGGCACCCAGAGTAGGAGGACTTTATTTTCTTTGCTTAATTTGTTCATTGTCTATATATTTATTAAAAATACTGCCCTTGTCCTCTGGTAAATGGAACCCCGAAGTATCCGATCATTATATATCTATCTATCTTATTCATAAAATAATAAGGCTCTCATACTCGCATAATATTCATATGTTTCGTTTTCTCTTATTTATAGATATAAGAAGAGTTGGTGGTAATAGGAAAGGAGTGTTCACTAGAAATCGTCAACCCAAAGCTGCAGCTTTCTTGTTAAGAAAAAGATATTGGGCTTTGGCCAATAAACTGGACAACGCCACGTTGCCAGATGATCTGGATAGATACGTCATAGACAATACAGAAGAAAACTTACATAATGAATTGTAAAAATATATTTTTTTAGTGTAAATTAATAATAATAAACAAGTGAAAAAAATTTTTTTTTTCGTCATATTGCATGTAGAATGTAACCAAGCGTTTCTCATAGCATTATAGTTATGTTCCTCTACGTCGATGTCACTATCGCTATTATCAAAAAAAAATCCATTTCCCATCAAAATGTCAAGACTGTTTCGAAGCCTTATTGCATTATCTTCCAACTAACAATCCCTCCAACATTCAATATAGATTTCTCAATAAGTCCAAATCTTCAATATTAGATGGTTTAACCAGTAAGTAGGTGCTTCTCAAACGGAACATTTGAATGAAAAGCTTTGAGTCGAGGTGATCTTCACGAGCACTACTCATTATTCCAAAAAAACGCTGAAGAGAATAAACATACTCTTAGTACCAATACGTGTATTCTTTTTACCCTTTTAAGTGAGTTAAATTGAGTTCAACTAAGATACTTACTTAATCTTAACTGTCTCAGTAAATTTAGCATGTTCTATTTACTTGTCATAAATTGAGTTTGAAGTGAAATAAAATTTCCCCCCTTGCCCCAACTGAGCTTGCTTGTCAGCTGTCTTAAGCTTGATTTTCATGCATCCGTTATACGTTGATACGATGGTCCGACGGTGCTCTGATTGATCATAGCGTTTTCGCGCCAATTTTCATCCGTAAATATTTTACTTCAGCCCGTCAACGGATCCGTTCATACGATAACGGACGTTTTGACACTTTTTTGACATATTTAATCTCACCTTAATAAAAATATAAGTAAAATAGCAAAATCGTTATGGAAACGAAAATATAAAATGACAGCAACGTATATCCGATAAACGGAGACATGAAAATGCAATAAATTTAAAAACTGCGTTATTTTCTAACCAATCAAAGTCTCTAAATTCTACCAATAAAATTAATATCGTATCAACATATCGTCGGACAACGGATGCATGAAAATCAAGCTTTAGTTGAAAATTTTAAGTGAGACGAAATACGAACGAGGTTATAAATCGCTGCTAGCGCGAACTGAACTGTTCTTTTTACTTTTTATTCATCTCAACTCATCTCAATTTGTCTTATCTTATTATATCTTAGTAATGAGATTTAAAGATTATATACTAAGATTAAAAAAAGTAAGATTTCCTAAGTAAATTTTATTTACTAAGATTTCCTGTAGGTAAAAAGAATACAGTTTATGAGGTATTACAAGCCGCATTTAACTTACTTCAAGAGCATCTTGGTTCAATTTTGCAGTAATTAAATATTGATATCCATATCTGTCACACAGAAAATGTTCTACACGAAGTGTAGTTTTTAATGTGACACTAATCTTTCTGTTAGATTTTTGGATGGATGTCATCATTACAAACTTTTGGACAAATATTCAACAAAATACTGTTGGGTTGCTCCATTTCAACAACTGTATCCCAATGTATCAATTTTACAACTCCATCGTGTGTCTATAACATTAACAAATCAATTTTTTGTATGAAATAAGTAATGTATTCCTAAAATTTCTCACCCAATATCCTTGATCTTTTAATAACAAAGTTTCAAAAGTTTTTTATTAAATGTGGAAAATCTAAAGAAAACCATAAACGTCAAAAGGAATCATGCTCATAAGACTTTTTCCTTCGTAATGCTAAACCTTTTCCACATAGCTCTGTTCCATGAAGCACAGTAACATCAGTTGTTACAATGTCAATAGAAAGACCTGTGTTCTCCAAAAAGAGAATACATTCAACTATAAGGTGATGCAAAACTGTTAAAGAAGCACATCCCTTCCTTAAAAAGCATGCCAAAGCCTGTACCCATGAACCTCTAAAGGACTGAAAGATCATAACAAATGCATGGCCCCCTTTTATAATTTAAAATCAACAACGGACGACGTATTACTGATGCATGTAAACCCACACTATAATTTTTTTTTTTAATTAAACTATAATTTTTACCTCTTCGTTCCTCTGGATGCAGTTGAGAATTATTGTATCTATTGTAAAGAGAACTAATAATATTACCATAGCTCGATTTCAGAACAGACTCCAATTTTATCGACAAATTTTAATATGTCTTCAAGATCTTCAAAATTAGTTATTTCTGAACTTTTTTCTTCAAAAGTAATTTCCGTTTTCCCCAATAAAACCTTAAATAATTCAATTAAAAACACACCTTTGTACCAAGAACAATAAATAATATTTAATATCTACCTTATAAGACATATCCTTGTGAATTATAACTTTTTTTTTTGGCATGTAAGTATCATCCCATTCAGCAAAGACTACTTCATTTCGTCCAGGAATAAATGTACCTGCCCATTCCTTGTTTGGTGTTCCGATTGTAGCCAAACTATTTTTCAAATCTGTAAACATAGTAATTGCCCTATCTTTCTCAACATCAATTGGCATATCAGTAATTTCATGAGAAATTTCCTCAAAATTAGAGTCTGAAGTTTCGTTTTTCAAATCTGTAAACATAGTAATTGACCTATCTTTCTCAACATCAATTGGCATATCAGTAATTTCATGAGAAATTTCCTCAAAATTAGAGTCTGAAGTTTCGTTTTTCAAATCTGTAAACATAGTAATTGACCTATCTTTCTCAACATCAATTGGCATATTAGTAATTTCATGAGAAACTTCTTCAAAGTTAGGTTCTGAAGCTTCATTTTTAACATGATTAACTGGCAGATCCTTTATTTTTTTTGTATTGGAAACTGTAACTCGTACACGTGGTGGTTTCCTCTTTCTTTTATAATTGGATAAATATGAAGGCAGGTTAGGAAAAATCCTTGGAATAGAACCCTGCTTTAATGTTGGTCTACCCCGTTTAATCCTACTAATTGTCCCATCAGCTAATTTGGTCTCATAATGAGTCATAATATCTTCATCTAGAAAATGTAGTTCACAAACAACATCTTTACTGCTAAGTGTTTTGTCTGCTCGAGGAATTGCTCTTTGCCACTGCTGTAGTGAGCCAGGATCCTAGTAAAAGATATATAATTAGTAAATAAAATAAAAAAAAATTGTCACTATTCAAGCTGTTATTTTAAATATACATTCTTAAAGTATAAATATTTAATATTCACTTTCAACAGCACTGTTCAAATGGAGGTTAATACATATATAACAGGTAATTTTAGCACCTAGTAGGTATTAAATTATTTTAACAAGGCCCCCTACATTATGTTAGGCAGATGTTGATTTTAAGCTATATTCTCTTTTAATTTGATTTTAAATTTAATCTGTACACTGACTGTATATAATTTTTTCTTAAGACCTATCAATATTTTTTTAAAACTAATAGTCATACCACTTACATTAGGAGCTTTGAAAAGGCTTGGGTTTCTTTCACCCCGCTCTTTATTCGCCTTTTTTTTAGTGTAACACCCACTTGTACAGCCAGGTGCAAAGCAATATCTACTGTATAGGTTTTTTTTCTTCGTAACACTCATTGTTATACTCAAAGGTTACAGCAGAGGGTTACAGTTAAACCATATACCGCATATATCAACGAGATAAGTGAGTAGGATATATAATAGGATAGATTGGACCTGTGGATTGGACCTTTGATTGGACACTTGCACACCGAACCAGACTAAACCCAACCTAACTTAAAACGAAACTTTAGTTCTCTTATCTATGCCACTTAATTGCTTATTGTATAAAATGATAAGATCTAAAAACAAAATGTAATTCGTTAATTTAAATTGTACGATTTCTTTTAATTCTAAACTAAATGTTGAGGTTTTAAATAACATCTAAAATATTCATAATATAATCTAATACCTATAATAATAATTCTCCAACTTCCTCACTTTGGCAATCAGCCATAAATTATATTTTTAGAACTCAAACTGAAAACAATACAGGAAATAGTTTGTTAGAAAAACGTATGCATGTCAATAATTTAAACTATGTATTTATTATAAGTTTATTATTAACTGTTATCTGCTGTTATTAATTAATAATCAAAACAAAACACTAATCTCACATCAGTTTTGTGGTGTCTGTAGTATGTGGTTAGACAGACAAATATAAAAATAGGTCTTAAATAGGTAAACAAAACTTAAGTCAATAAACTCAATTAAGAAAAGTTAGGTTAATGTTGTCTCTGATGTTGTGTTTGAAACTGAACTGTGAAACTGAATTTTAGCTGATTTTAGAACTAGTTTTTTACATAAAATATTGAGTTGTATTCAGTATGAAATATTAGTTAAAATAAATAAAATTGTAGGTATATAGAATACCACCAACATACGATGTTAAATTGAGTTAACATTGGGGTAAGTAAAATAAAGAATAAAATGAGTTTGTAACAATTATAAGTAATTAGTAAATATATCAGTTATTTTAATTTTAGTACATAAAAATAGTTATTATCTCTATTTGCTCTATTAAAGTAGTAGTATTGTATTATTTTACAATTTTTTTTCTCTATAATATAAATTTGCTATCAAATAGCAAATGCAAATAAAATATTTTACCTAGGTATACAGGGTTTGTACATTCAGTTCTCGCACATACGACACGGAGTATTGTATCTAAACGATTAGATTTTTACAAATTGTAAGTTTTGGGTTCGTTGAAGGACTATAGAGCACGATTAGAGCTACAATTTAAAAATATTTTTACAAGATAGAGAGTGTCCCAAATATATAAAAAATTAAAAAATATCAAAGTTGTATTTATTTAAACGGAACACTCTTATATTATTACATACCCATTTTTAGTTTCTACAATTAAAATAAAGGTAAATTTGATTAAGGTTTATCACAGTTATTCCTTACCGTTTTTGAAATATTTTCAATTTTGTGAAATTGCATAAACATTTTAAGGCTTTATTTCTCCAAGGGTAGGTACCAAACTTTTTAATACTAAATTACTGAAGTTTATTTATTGATCAATTATTGTGTTGCAATAATAAAAATAATACTACCTCAAACAGAGTGTCTAAAAACTTATTTTAAATAATTTCTAGCTTTAAACGGCAATAACTTATTTAATTTAAAAGGAACACCCTGTGTATTTTAGGAGAATCAGATGCATAATTTGTCTATCAAATTGTATTTTACCATTTTTTATCTATATTTTCAAGTTTTCGCAGAAAATGCATTTTCTTATAATTTAGACCCATTTTAGACCTCATTTATCAATTTACCCATGGAATATTGTATACATTGAATTTCTTTTATTTCATTACATAGTATCAATATTATTTATGTTAAGGAACCTTCATTTTTACTTATTTCTTTAAGACATTTTCGGATAACAAAAAAAAAAATATTTTTCAAATTCAATTTACTTTCAGACTTTCAGGTGAATTGTTTATAGAAAAGACAATATGGCAACATCGGAAAATCCTTTGAATTTCGGTTCTGGGCCATCAAAACTTCCCAAAGAGGTAAAATTATACAAAATTATGAAAAAAATCATAGAAGTTCAGATTGTCCCAATTTCGTCTGTTATATGAAGTTTCTCTCGTTAATGTGTAGAGATACAAAGATGCGGTTTTCACATTACTGTGCTACTTTTTTAGAAAACCATGGCAAATATGCTACACACAGATTTGTCCTAGCTTTCTTAGTTCCTGAAATACAGGGCTAATTTTAAAATGTTGCATTTTTTCCCTTGGAGATTTTCACGTAGAATCCAGTGGTGTACCTAGTTTTTTTTGCTGGAACCTGACATTTTCAAAATATAACTCTTTTTAATATAGTAATAACTTTTTCAAATTGGACATCCAGTATATTATTTTTTATTTTATTTGTTTTATTATGTGCTTACTAGAAATATAATACACTTTATACCGTATGATCGAAAAAAGAACGGAGTCCAGTTGGCTATGAAATGAAGATCGCTGTCATTTTATATGTAAAATTATATGGAGAATGTCATGGATCGTCATTTCCAAGCCAACTGGATGCCGTTTTTTTTCGATCATATGATATTTATTTTCATAAATAAGGTAAAATGCAATATTTAACTTTTTAACATAAATCAACCTAGTTTAAACGAGAGTATTATTGTGTTAAAATTTATTATTGTTTTAAAACAATACTCTTGTAAACTAAAACTAAAAAATAATATACAGGGTATCGCATTTAAGGAAGCGTCATATTTTAACAATGGCAGCTCCCAGGCTAACAACTAGTTACTGAATTCCACTATGGGATTCAGTTTTCACCTTTTCGATATATAAGATAACCATAAGATACGAGGGAAGTCCAAAAATGGAACAATCTCAAATTTGCCCTGTATTTCAGGAATTTAGAGGGCTAGGGCAAATCTGTGTCTAGGATATTTCGTTTTATAAAAAAGTAGAACAGTAATGTGAAAACGACATGTTTGTATACCTCTATTCATAAACAAGAAACCCTGTAAAACACATGAAAATGGGACACCCTGTACACGTACAAAAATACTTTTTTTAGGTTCTGGAAGAAGCACAAAAAGAATTCTTAAATTTTGATCACATAGGTTTCAGTATAACAGAACTAAGTCACCGATCTCAAGAATATGCCAAAATAAACCAGGAGGCTCAAGATGACTTGAGAGAATTATTGTTAAGTTTCTTTTGAAATATTTTGTTTGTTTTATTTTAAAAAATTGCATTGTATAGATCAGTTCCCAATAATTACAAAATATTGTTCACCCAAGGAGGCGGTCAAGCATTAATGTCTGCCATTCCTTTGAATCTGATGAAGAAAAATGGATCGGCTGATTATGCTATTACAGGTAATACGCCAACTTATTTTTGAAGTGAAACTTCTTTAAGATCGCTGGGAGTAGAAATTCAAGGCCGTGACTAGGGCTGTAACGAGCCCTGTTTTTTAACTTGACCGAGTACCGAGTACTCGGCTAAAGGTAATGGCCGAGTACCTAGTACTCGGCTGCCGAGTAGTGGAATTGTCGGGTTTTTAATAGTCTTAACAGTTATGCGACCTTTATCAATATATACTAATTATACTATACACCATAACATAATAATATTATATTTTATACATAATATAAATACAAATATATAATTTAACATTAAAGAAAGCTAGTTAAAATTTCCGGAATTCCTCGGCCTTAAACCAATGATCTTGTTTGTTTTGCCTATGATTGGCGAGCGGCTGTGAGTCTCATTTCTATCTGTTTTGGACATGCATAAATGGATTGTTTCTATTACTATACTTTACTCGGCGGAGTAAGGCCGAGCACCGAGTACACATTACTCGGTTAAAATTCTGGCCGAGCACCGAACTACTCGGTACTCGGTGCAGCCCTAGCCGTGACACGACACGCGAGAGGAAAAGAGGACAGCCTACGGCTTAAAAAAAATCGTCCGATTTAAATAAAATTTGGTATGTCAATGTAGAATGTAGAATGGGTAAGAGGGAGGGTTAATCACTGCGACCTTAAAGATCTATTGTGCCCCCCTTCCTTGATTCATCACACAGTCCATAACCCATCATACCCCTGTTGCAGAGGGAACTGGGTATTTCCCATCTTCCTCTGACAACAGTTCTTCCTCCAAGGGTACACGCCCTTCCACAGTTCGAGTTTGGCCCTCCGTGCCGCCCTTTACAGTTGAGGAACTTGCCTCCGGCTGAGGAACCCGTGAAGTGGAGGCTGGAGGCTCTGTCTCCATTTTCTCCACCTCTTTAACTTGGTCTCTCCTTAGACCTGATACCAGTGTTGTTCCGTATCTAATAGAGGGTATGTCCCTCTTTCTCTATTGGCTCCTTGGATTTGAGGTCAATTCCTATTGTGAGGACCAGGTGGTATATCGATGAATTGGACCAAGGCCAACTTGACCGTGTACAACACGTGTCACTATGGCAGTTAGTTTTGACGTAAGAAACGTGTTAAAAATTGATGCTGTCCGATCGTGACCAAATTTGGTAGGTAGGCTATATGAGCGACAGTGAAAACTAGGGGTGTGTAGTTCGTGAACGAACTAGTCCCAGTGAACTATTCCGACCCCGGAATGAAAGGAACTAGTTCCCGGTTTCTCAAAGAACTATTTCTTCAGGACCTATTCCGCGATCGAGACTGTTATCGATATATAATATCCGACAGCCGCATGTTATCGTATCCGGACCTAGAGGAACTAAATAAAAGACTAGTTTGCGTACGGATCGGCCAGCGCGATCGTAGCCCGATGCTAGGCGGGAGTGGAGAGTGCCAGCCGTATGTTACCTGTCCCGGACCGAAAGGACTGAGAGGAACTAGAGGAACTAATTAAAAAACTAGTTCACAGGAATCTATTCAGTCGACAGATCCGCGATATAATACAAGACGATGACGATGGATTCCGGCGTAATTGACACAGAAAATTGTCTTGGATACTGTTTTTGATTTTTAGTTTTTTCTTTGAATCTTTTATGGGAATGTTTTACTTTAGGTCCTTAAAATTAAGACTACGAATTAGATGTTAGTCGGGAACTATTGTGAATTAAAGACCTAGTTCAAGGAACTATTCCTTTGTAGGAACTAGAACTAAGAAACTAGTTCCTCCCAACTAGAATTTCTATCTCTAGTGCACACGGTCCCACCCTCCAAATTTGGATACGGCGTTTCGTTTACATCTTCATCAGGGTGGGACTAAGGATTTGATATTGAAGGAAAATGTGGGTCGATTTCGGCAAAATTGGGGACAGGCTACAGGAAGACGCCATCGGCGTTTCGAACCGATGCCTCTAAATGGACCAAATCATCAGGATTTTTCTTAATTAGGTATGGGTCGATTGGAACCAAACTCAGCACCTTGATAGAGGTACCCGAATGGAGTCCTCAGACGGACAGACGGTCATTTTAATACAAATTTTGAATAGAGTAAATCAAATTATTTAGTAATTTATTACTTTTTCAACATTTCAAACTACACTTTTTCAAACATGTCCTTCAAATCGTTCAATTTAGTAACTGTTAGTAAGAAGTCTCACTTTAAATATGCGCATATAGTGCACACAGAATTTTGTTTTTATAAAAAAACGCATTTATTTACTTACACCCTGTATACCTATTTTTTATATTTAGGAATATGGTCCACTATAGCGGCAGACGAAGCCAAAAAATACGGAAAGGTAAAGTATGTTTTTCCGGAATCAGAACCGAATGCCGGGATTCCCGATAGAAGCACATGGAAGTTAGATAAAGACGCTTCATACTTTTTCTACTGCGATAATGAGACCATAGAAGGTATGTAGAATGTTTAGGAGGGGGATTAATCACCGCGACCTTACAGATCTATTGTGCGTCTCCCTTTCTTGAGTTATAACGAGTTATAACTCATCATACAGTCTCAAGGCTTTGACAAAAGCCAGTATCTGACACGGCTGCACAGAGGCTAGTTCTCCTTCTCCGATATCAGTCGTACCAAAGTTTATGGCAGGAATGGTTATCGTCTCGGCGCACTCAGTGATGAGGTGTTCTGGTGTTTCCCCATTTTCCCTACAGAATCTAAATTCGCCATTGTTGCTTAGGTTTAATCTACTGAGGTTTTCGTTGAGAAAACAGAGAAGGTATCACGGCATTCTAAATTAGAAATACAGTGTATGATTTGAAAAAAAAACGTGTCAGGTTCAGGTTGGCTTGGAAAGAACAATTAATGACATATTCGTCATTCAAAAACAAGAGCTGCAGAAAGTCCCTATTATGACGGAGAGTCCGTTATTCAGACACGATGTCCCTCCTTAATATTTGTCCGTCATCCCATATTATTGTTCGTCAATTGAATCAATTCAAAAGTCTGTTACCTTAGAAAAAGTAACGAATGGAGGTCAAATGATACTAAATATATATTATATAATGTTACGTTTTTCGTCGGTTCCGTGTGGATAGAAAGTCACAATTTATTTAAACACTATTTATTTAACACTAATTAACAAAAACAATAACGATAAAAGACTTATAGAACTATTTACAAACGATTTATAACTAAGAATTTATTTTGAATTTTAGCGCGTCAACTGCACCCGTATATTTATGACTGCCCTCTCTAGGCCACAGCCGCCGGCTTTTATACCTACAGCTAAAAGAACTCTAGAATAGTCCATAGATCGTTAGGTGCATAGAGAAGGTTTCGATTGTTTTCGTATGTACTACTCCATTCCAGTGGAACTCGTTTCTTCTCGAATCTTCGAATGAATCATTACGGTGTCTATTCTTTAATGCGATGTTAAGGTCATCCGAGGGCGGGCCATATTGTTAGGTTAGGTCGAGTCCACACCGGTCCGCAACAATAAAATGGGTGGAGTTTAATAGCATTTGGCAGCTTACAAACTGTGAAGGAGGGCGTAAATGGTGTACTAACTCAATAATAAAAAAAATCCTACTTTTTTGCGAACTTTCTGGCACACCCTGTTCTATTTCTCATATTTGATTTCTAATTTTAGGTAGAGAATTTCCTTTTATCCCGGATACCGAGGGCATACCCATAGTATCAGATATGTCATCCAGCCTAATGAGTAAAACGATAGATGTTTCCAAAGTAAGTACCTTTTTTAACCCTTATCGATTAACTAATTATTATACAAGATGTTTATCGATCTATCTATTATACAGGGCGAGTCTTAAATAAGTGCAAATATTTTTAAGTGTGGTAGGAACACGTCTATGAGGGTTTTTTCGCAAAAAAAGATGTTGAAAATCGTGCATTTTCTTTTAAATTTTCCTGTATGAAAACTTTTTAGAACTGCCCGGCACATTTTCTCACGGCATAATTTCTGAATCTCTGATATTACCATGGTTACGGCACAGGTTATGGCACTCTAGTACATGACATTAGTCTATGATGGCACTAAAAGGGATGCAAATACAGAACAAATCCGGTGGCTCTCAATTTTTTTTTTTAATTTTCAAACTTGGATAAGTCGGTTATTTTGGACTCACCCTGTTTTGAAATTCAACACACTCATAATAACTTGAAGTACTCTTTAAATAGTACTAAAAATAGGTTTGTCATTTAAAACATGCATGCCCATGACGTCATATAGCTCAAATTTTGGACACGCTACACGCTTTATAAAAATTCCCTACATCAAATATAGCGCTGTTTAAAATACCTCCTAGTTACGTCCCAGCACATTTCCGAAAAAAAACATCTTTAATTCACTGAATTTAGTCCAAGTTAGAGAATCACCCCGTATATTTAAACTGTTTTGTTAGTTTGGAGTGATTTTTGCTGCCGCTCAAAAAAATCTTGGAACAGCTGCCTTAGGTGTGGTCATCATTAGGCAGGACTTACTTGGAAAAGCACAGGATATATGTCCGTCATTTTTAAATTTCTCTTTGTTGGACAAAGCCAATTCTATATTGAACACGCCACCAGTATTCTCGTAAGTACAAAATAAAAATAAAATTATTTGAATATTATGCGGTAATTATCTTGTCATTGAATAAAAAGACTAAAAAAATAGGTACCATTTTTATATTCATTAAATTTTTATTAAATGTGAATAATTCTATAGTATATGCATTTTTCCTTATTTATTTTATAATTAGTTTATGCAAAGTCTATAAATCTAGTAAGATGTCAGGACTCGACTTACAGTGAGTGATTATTGTGAGTCTCAAGAAAGAGGCTATGCTTGAAAAATAGTCACATCGTGCAGCATGCGAGTATTTCCAAACTAAAAACATTGACAGATAATGAATAATTTTTCATTAATACGTCATTAGTAAGTAATTACCTATGATAATTACACATCTAAGATTAAGGGAATCCAATCTGTGGAACCAGACCAACTACGGTCACCCCAGGATATTGCCAATGATAGGGAAAATCATGACGAACACGAGTCCAAATCTGCTAGACCAAAAAACGGGCTATATGCTCACCAAACATGATTTTGGAGAAAAAATAAGGATTCGCATAGCGACAAGAAAAGAAGGGGAAAGCAACCTAATAATGAACCCTCAAGAGCAGTCTACACAGGTAGGCACAGGTAAAGGCTACAACGTTCTCAGAGGAAGTAGACACCCGACGATCCTTAAGGCTATCGGATGGCTGTAATCTACAAGCCGAGGTTTACGCTATAAAGGAAGCGGTCAGTTATATATGAGGGAAAATCGCTGACCAATAGGAGATATTGTGATATATTCTGGCAGTTTGGGCCCTTTAAGAAGCATCACCATGCAATCAGTTAGATCGAAAACTGTGATGGACTGTCGAGAAGCACTGTCCTGGTTGCATCAAGGCGGGGCCACTCTCTGCTGGGTGCCAGGCCACAGCAATGTGGTGGGCAACCAAAAAGCGGGTAGATTCGCCAAAGAGGGGGCCAGGGGAGAGGCTGTGGCAGATGATCCACCACTTGTGACGTTCAACACACTGAAGGAGGTTCCTTCAGTGTGTTCCTATAGTTAGGAACTACCATCACGCCCAAGCAGCAAGAGACGTGGCAGTACCGTGAGAACTGCGTTACGGCTCGAAGACAGTTGCCAAACCAAACCAAACCAAACAACTACTAGAGCATAAAAAGAACCTAGTACGCATAATTGTAGGTGTCGTCACTGTACACTGCCTCATGGGAGTAAACCTCGTGAGATGGAAAATTTTCAACGACGACTACTAGAGAGAATGCGGAGAGGAGGAAGAAACCATAGAGCACCTGCTGTGTCACTGGCCGGCACTGGAAAACCGACGCTTTAAAACTTTAGGCCCTAGTTTTTTGGAGGGACTAGAGAAAGCAGCAGAAGCCTACAAAATATTGTTATATAAACCTACAACCTTTAGCCTATAACCTAACCTAAGTAATTACACATTAATTAGGATATAACAATTTTATGAATTTTATTTTCTTGTTCCAGTAGCGTTCCTATATTTAGGTATTAAATATTTACATTAATTTATGTATTTTTATTAGAAAGATTTTTTTCTATCATTATTATTATTAACATCTATTAGTATTTTATAGGTAAACGAGAAGTCCATATAATTCAGCCATACTGAAACGACCGAAATCCTTTCGCGGTTTTCCAATGCTTTTTATACCCTATCGACAAGCGAAGTCTTGAGCTTGAGTCGGTGTTTACATTTCTACGAGTGAATCGCTATGACGATCCAGTATTATTTATTATATTTACATAACCACTTAATTCGACGCTAGATTTTATGCGCTTCTGAAAGTACTTATTTTTTCTTTATTCAGAACATCTTATTGTACTTATTGACCGTACTCTTCATACACACGAAAATCGGTACCCAAGGCCATAAATGCCGACCCGGTATACTCCTTCCATAGTCTTTTTATTCAATGAAAATATCCTGCACTAACTACTTTATTATATAGGGTATACCTTCTTGGAAAGGTCCTAAAATGGGTTAAAAGGAATGGAGGTCTTCAAGAAATGGAAAACCGTTGTAAGAAAAAAAGCAAACTCCTCTATGATACAATAAAAAACTCGAATGGTTTCTATAAATGCCCAGTTCAAAATGAGGATTTGAGAAGTCACATTAACGTGCCTTTTACAATAAACAACGGCGACGTTAAGCTTGAAGAAAAATTCATTAAAGAAGCTGACGAGAATCATATTCATCAGCTGAAAGGTCACAGATTGGTTGGAGGTGTCAGAGTGTCTTTGTATAATTCTATTTCTTTCGAAGAAGTTAAGATTTTGACAGATTTTATGTACAAATTTCAAAATGAAAATCAGTGTAAATCAATATCTTGTTCATAATGTTGTATTAAGGTAAAAAATATTTTTATACCGTAAAATTAATATATAAATAAATTTTGATGAAAGTTCTTTGTTTTACTAGCATAATATGTTCTAGAAAACGTGAAGAGTTCTCACATAATCATTTTTCCTTGTTCTGATATTTGACGTCGTATATGATAACTGTGTACTTTTAGTACATCTATGTTATTATTTTATTATTTAATCTCTTTGAAACCTTATGTAACATTCCTGTTGTCTTATATATTTTGCATATATAGGTAGAAAAAGCAGTAGATAACTTTTAAACATTATTGTTTTTCGAAGTACTCTCCACGAAGTACAAGTGCAATTTGCAATGCATTTTTGCATCTGTTGGAACCAATTCTGAAAGCAGTTATTCCACTCGTTTGTTGGTATTTTAAAATTACATTTTTGAAGGCGCTGACCACAGAATATACTAACGAAAGCGCTGAGTGCATCTTATGTGGACTGGAACCTAGAACCTTTGACCACGCAGTTAATTCTTAATTTATCGTTGGTTAGGTTTTAATAGGGGATGGTCCAACAATTCAATATTTTCTTGCCTTAAAAACTTAATTGTCTTTCGAGCTAGTGATGGGCAAAACTGTTATTTTTAGATAACAGTTGAAACTGTTATAGTTATTTATAAAAAACAGCTTAAAATAACAGCTTAAAAATAACAGGTTTCTTTATTTTATTGCTAAATATCTGAAAGAATATGAGGCGGTCACCGCCAGGCGTATTAACGCAGTTGCAACAATGACGTGCTCGGTGTAGTATTTCCAGGGTGTCATAACATTTCTAAATATCGATTGTTATCTAAAATACCTCTCTAAAAACGGGGGTTGTTTACAAATAAGCGCTGTTTACAAATTGCGATATAAAAAAGCCAAAATGCCGCCACTCGTCTATATCTATAAATTCCGATCTACCTACGCCCTACCCCTCGATCCGCGTAGATTCTGAATTGCGTAGCAGTGTACAGGGTGCATCTCACTCGACGGGCGAGAAGCTCTTCGTTATGATTTTACCATTTGCGGTCAAAAAATAGCAATATAAGAAAATGTGTAGTATATTCTTCATAAGTAAACCAACTACACACTAGAGTTCGAATTAATTTTACACTTAAACTAGCATGTACAGTTTGACAAATATAGGAAGAGACTTGGGGATAGCACCGGTCGCGCACACGATAGAGAGAGAACGCATTCGGCGGAAGAGAGATGCAGTTACGCTACGAAAAATCTGATTGAAGCAAATTTGTGGGATGTCCACTGCGCATCGGGGGGCGTCTCTTATTTTATATTTCTCACGTCTCTAGCTATACTTGTTAAGTTGTACCCGCGACTTCGTTCGCATCGAATTATTAATTTGTAATGGTGATGATAAAGCAAAGCAAGAATTTCCATTAACATACAAACTGGATAAAATTTTCTCACATTTGCCAAAAATATGCTTTAAACGTCGAGCAGTTTAAGCAGAATCGTGGTTAATCAATTACTCAACTTTTTGGAACACCCTGTATTATTTTTTAAAAAATTTCAAAATATGTAAAAAAACAAAATAAATTATGCGTGTCCAATCGTTTTCCCGAAAGACTAACCGTTTTTTAAATAATAAATATTGTAATATTTGAGGGGCGTTTTCACCCTCTTGGAATTTGAGATTCGAGAAACCCCTCCTTATCGCACCTCTACACCCCACAGTCAATCCGTTTACCAAAAATCAGCTTTAAACGTCAAGCAGTTTAAGCAGAATAGTGATTACTCAGTGGTCATATTTTATGAAACACCCTGTATATATTTTGTAAAAATCTCAAAATATGTAAAACAACAAAATAAAATATACGTGTTTAAGAGTTTTTTCGAAAAACTCACCAGTTTTTAAATAAAAAATATTCTAATATTTGAGGGTGGTTTCACCCCCTTAGAATTTGAGTTTCGAAAAATCCCTTCTTATCGCACCTCTACACCCTAAAGTCAATCCGTTTTCCAAAAATCAGCTTTTTACGTCAAGGGCTTTAAGCAGGATCGTGATTAATCAATGACCAGATTTTTCAAAACACCCTGTATACATTTTTAAAAAATCTTAAAATATTATTCTGAAAATTTTTCAGAATAAATAAATACTTAAATATTGAAACTTAATAACAAAGTATTGAAACATACAGCGCCATAATATCTCGACCTCCGCCCGTTATGCTCGTAACAGGTTGAAAAACAATATGTATCTAAAACAACTGATGCGTTATTCTCCAACCTGTTTCAAACCTCCGATTATCTCGAACGCCGTTCTGTTATGCTCGTAACAGGTAAAAAAACAACATAGCTAAAACAACTGATGCGTTATTCTCCAACCCGTTGCGAGCCTCCATCGACAATCGACCGATGCAGCAGCGCTCCTTTCCCACTCCTGTTATCTCGACAGCCAGGCGTTATGCCCGCAACTGTTTCAAAAAAGCTGCTTCTTTTATATCCTATTATTTTTAAGCTGTTGTCAGCCCAACACGACGCGCCGCGCCGTAGCGCATACCCCACTCCGTTGTCCGTTGTATCCAAGTTGTATCTCGCCGCCTGTATCGATGGTTGTCGAAATAATAGGTTTTCCATCCATACTAGTTGTTTTTTGGAATTGCTTCGAGCAGCATCGAATTTCGTGGCGGTGCAGAGCGCCGACTTCGTTTCACGAACACTCGATCTCTGCGTGTCGTTATTTTATATCTGTTGTTTTTTAAAAGCAGTAACGGTTGCGTTATGTTATTTCTAAATAATTGTTATAAAATAACAGATAGTTAAATAACAACCCATCACTATTTCGAGCTGTGTGGGAATTTACTGAATGAGTTTTTCACACCAGTGTTGTTTTTTTCAATTCCGTAACCTTGATCTCCCAATAGTAAAGCATTTGGAATGTTCTCATTACTTGACATATATCGCTGTTCCTCCAAATACGGCTGTCGTGTACAGACCCTGGCCACTCTGCAGCGACACTCGTAAACAATTCGTCAGCATTATACGTTGCTTGGACATTGATTGCCGCAAACTGTTTCCTGCATATATACTCATGGTCATGTTGATTCCTATGATTTTTTTTATCCTTATGAGTGTGCAGTCTATTACCCCAATTGCAGTAGAAAACCTATATTTTTCAGACCAGCCAGCGTCGGTTTTGCATCCTCGATGCTTACAAGTCCTGTAAAAAACCATCTTGCATTTTTTAAAACGGGTGGTTTGGTTTGGTTTGATTTGGTTTGGGTGGTGTAAAGAAAACGGGTGGTTTAATTCACTCGAATAAAGTTTACTTATAATTGTTGGGAAGCATCAATTTTCATTTTTCTTGTAGGTTCAGAAATTAAGAAGACTTTTTTTTAAGAAGAATTTTTTAAATAATAATTATTGTAAAGTATAAATACCAACTTTGAATAATTTTGTATACAACTTACTTGAGGAAAACTAATCCAGGTATTGGCTTTGTTGATGATTTTTTGTATGACGAATTTGATTGTGTTGGTTGGCTGACACCTACATCTTGAGCCACTCCTAGCTGAAAACCTTATTATCCTGTATATTAATTTAAATTTGATGTAATAAAACTCACCAGAATCAGCGACATATCTTAAAAATGTCTTCATTTTAGTGACAGACCTCAAAGCCCCTCCACGTTTTTCTTCACTATCCCCCAAGAAATGTTGGGCAATCCAATCGACCTTTTGTGGCGTGAATCTATATAACAAAATAAACTTCTGTTGCGAAGGATTTTCTCGACGCGGCTTGTATACTTTAGTTTCTCGTACGTGAGCAAACATTGTGAAAATGTTAAAAAATAAATAGATTGAAATCACTCCATACAAATATGTTGTCGTACGCAATTTCTTCCACATACTAACATATTTACATGTATCAGTATACCGTGCTGGCAACTGTTACTTTTGGGTCGGAATTTAAATGTGTGGAAGTAAATCGCATAGGGATCTTATTAAGTCGGAGTGAGAGAAATGCGACCGACCGACGCGACGCGCGACGGTGTGCTGTTGCGGCGTTGCCGATACGCCTTTCCCTATCAAGTAAAGTAAAATCACGATCGCAAACCGCTTATTTTTAAGACTTTTTTTCAAGATATAACTAGATAAAATCATTAGACATGTTTCTGAGCATCTGAAATGGAATTATAAGGATATCCTTAGGGTGTCATTTTTTATAACGAGAAAACGTCAGTAATCGCGATAATTTAAAAACTTAACTTTTTAACACATAACACACCATAACTTAAGAACCACTTTAGATATTGAAACTTTTTTTATTTTTAAGATCGGATATTTTACAATATGTTTATATAAGAAAAATTCGATAAGGTCCATTCAAAAATTATAAACAATCCATCCATTTACTTTTAGAGCATAGCAATTTTCAGCAATCGTGTAATTTTTTTATTGATAAAGATTTTCACATACTGTCCACAAAGAAAATACAGCAGAAATATTGACAAAGTTCTTGAAAAAACTACAATCTATTATTTCTAATAGATTTCGAGATATCGATTTTTGAATTCAGACTTCTAATAGCGCGACCACTATCGAACACCCACTCACTCAATTCCACTTATTTTTACAAAAAATGCAAGTGTTTCTAGCTTGCACTTAAAAAAATTCATGCTATAGCGAAAATTACGACTCGTTAATAAATAAACAAATTGAGTATCACGAGACGTAATTAAACCGTGAAGCTGAACGCATGACGTACACCTTTCCCTAGAACTTTATGCACTGACAGAGGTATTGATTGGGTCGACCGGTCAACTGCGACAAATCTGCTATATCCCCTTCCACGTCTCTTAGCGATGTGCACAGTTTCTCGGTTTATTTCATACGTTTGGCAACGTGTTTACTGTCCTCTCTTTGTTCAGTGCATTATAAACGCATTGTACTCTTCTTGCATATGGAAATCTCGATCCAAGACTATGCCAGCCCTTAGTATGATATAGTAGACTTATGGATTTACTAGTAGATGCTTATTTTCGGTAGCAACTACTAGTTTTTATTAATAGCGTTTTAAGGATAAACTTATGATTACTAGTAGATGCTGATGCTTATCAATAAATACTGAAACAAGTATCTACTGAAATTTTATTAATACACTTTATAGTATGTACTAGTGAAAACACTAGCATCAGAAGATGCTAGTCTTTATTACTACCACCCATTGTCTTGATGGAGGATCATTCGTCGTTGAGGATTGGTTTTTCGAAACTGAGCAATTACTTCCAGCAAACAAATAGGTATAGGTACCAATGAGAGTACCATTTTGCAGATTAATTGTTGCTACATGACCCTCTTTGGAGACAAATGTCGCCACAATCTTTTTGGGAACACTTCGAGAACGGATAACTTTTGTCGGTTTTGGTTCATCTCGGAACACCCAAACAGCCGATTGGCGTTTATTTTTTTCATAGTTTTTAGATACCAATTGACTAATTGCTTTCTGTTCTTCCGTCAGTAGGTGCGGTTTCCAACGAGAAACTACATGTGAAATTTTTTGAATTGAAGTCTTTGAAATGCCCAATGATGCTTCAATTTCACGGTATATGACATACCGATTTTCTTATATCCGATTCAGCTTATGTACAGTAATCGACGTTTTTCTGGGTGACTGCAGTTGTTGGAGGACCTGTTTGTTATTTGGATAGCTGCCAAGACTAATCCGCCCACGTTTAAATTCTTCATACCAACGGGAAATTGTCGACTTATGTGGTTTATTCATAGCCGAAAACAGAATCCCGGCAAGTTATTCTTGTTGCGACAACCGTCTTCGAAAATTGTAAAACATTATGCGCGATAATTTTCTAGGCTTAATTCCAATTTTCGACTGACTCGTCAACTTCAAAAATTCAGTTTAGGTTCAGCTTTAAACGAAACGGTCTAAAACTTTGCCGTTAAGTTAACTAAAGATGACAGTTAATATATGTTTTGACAGGTTCCTACTATGTTTCTATATGCAAAATATAAAAGACAACCGTCACCGTCGTAAAATAATTGTTATTTATATGCATATTGAGCAATTAGGGTCTATTTTTACTTATTTTTCTTCCAATTTTAATACCAGAAATGTAATAAAAAAAACACCTCTTAAATTAATAAAATTTTTATTAAAACACAATAATAAATAATGAAAATGATAAAACAACGCTATAACAAATTCAATATGTATACAATTTGCCTTTCGTATAAAAACAGTCAAATGAGATTCCAACAAAATAAAAATATATAAAAACTCTTTTTTAATCGCTATTTTTTCGCTAGTTCTAAGAGAAGTCTACTTTTTTAAATTAAAGTTCTTATCACAGATAGATTTTTGTCAACACAATAATATTAACTCTGAATATAATTAGCCAAAAAAAAAGCCGCCCGAAGTTAATGTTAGATTACGTATAATAAACATAACACACAAATGTTAATCATCTTATACCTTGTGGTGTAATAAAAAAAACCGTCGAATACGCATGGAAATAGCATTTCAATTAGAGGTTTACTAGACAGGGTGGTTATACCTAGATTCTAGGTACTATACAGAGTAGATTGAACAATCTGTCCAACCCTGAAAATTTATCATTATAGTTGATTTGACTTCTGGTTTATAAAGCTGTACGCACACTAGTGCGATCAAGACCGCGATCACGATCTTCACGCGGCCGCGGCCAAAAGTTGCTGAAGAATACATATGAGCCGTTGCACATTGGCGCGATCGAGTTTTGAAGACGAAGCGGCCTGGCGGCGTTCTATTCTGCAGTGGCGATCAGATTACGACCCAACTGATAGGAATTTTCCATTATTTTGTGTGTTTTTCTTGTTGCAATTTAGAAATGGAGTTAACAGAGCAGCTAATTAAGGCTGTAAAAATACACAAAATTCTATATGATTTATCCGATCCAAGTTACAAAAATAATAGAATTAAAAATAAAAAGTTTGAGACAAAACTGGAGTTGCAATTGGATTGGATAGTACATATGTATACATTTATATTGTTTAAGTTTAAATATTGTGGGTAAATATTTAAGAATGTTTTTTTTTCGGTATACCTAATTCACATTTTTAATTTGTACCTATGTATACCTACACGATGGCGCACTACATATAGGTACCTACTACTACATATAGGTACGGCCGTGAACGTGAACACGTTGTTGTGTGCTAGAATGGTCGCTCATGTTATCGCTGCCCTGATCGTGATCGTGGTCGCGGCCGTAATCGCACCAGTGTGCATGTAGCTTAAAGCTGTACGTACACTGGCGCGATCACGATCAGGGATTTAAGTGGACAAGTGGAACACTTTATTGCTGCCCTGATCGTGATCGTGATCGCGGCCGTGATCGCGCCAGTGTGCGTACAGCTTAATGCGTTTGTTTTCATTTAACAACCCATTTAACAAACACTACCTACGAACATAGGCAGGGTTTTCAAATCGGGATCCCGAAATCCCGGAATCCTGGTATATGTTTATCCCCGAAATCCCGATATTAAATCCAGGAATCACGAAAATCTCGAAAAATTTAAATGCCCAATCTAAAATGATTCGACTTTATACAATTTAGTCTTTCAAAGATCATATTTTATTTATATTAAGCAGAACGTCAATATCGAAAACTTATATTTCCGTGTTTGCTATATTGTTTTGCAACAAGAATTGTATTTTTTGCTTACTAAATATGAATGTTACTTTGTTCTGCCTATTTTAATAAAACTGTGTTCTCATTTTCTATTTGATAGTAACTACATTATTAATAAGTATTTCTTTATATTAAAGTTATCACTCTGATAGTTAATACCGGGATTATAAGGTCTTATCCCGGGATTTCAAAACGGGATCCCGATCCCGAAAATTGTAAACCCTATTCATAGGTACACTCACTCCTTAGTCCTGTTTATTCAATGAAATGCCTATTGCAGGGTTAAGACACAAATATACCGGGTGAGTCTCAAAAGTGGCTCACCCCTATCACTTTTTTATTTTTTCAGTTAAACAAACGAGATTTGACATGTTAGTATATGACATAAATTAGGATAGAGTGACGTATTCACTTGTTTTTAGTCACTTTCTGTTTCACCGGAAATTACCACAACTTTTGATTTTTAAATAGCACCCTCTGTATTTTTTTACTTTATTCCATAGAAAATGACATTCTGAATAGTATGACATATCTGAAATTATACCTTGCGGTTTGTAGCGAAAATTTGACTCGAAATACCAAGTGTGTGGTATCAAATTATTCGTAAAAAAATGCTTTTTTCAAAAATGCTAATGAGCCACCCTCATTCCATTTGAAAAAATTGAGATATGATTAAAAATACGATTGAGCATTTTCTAACTGGCCAGGACAAGACATTAAAGACACTAGACGATCAAATCTATTTTTCCAAGGCTCCTTGATTAAGAATTAGTGTTTTTAACATAGCCATGACACTCTAGATTGAATTTTAAAATACAATGTTTTATTAAGCGAGAATGTCAAAAGTTGACATATGATATGTCATTCTATTCAGAATGTCAATTTCTATTGAATAAAGTAAAAAAATACCGATGGTGCCATTTAAAAATAAAAAGTTGTAGTCATTTCCGGTAAAACAGGAAGTGATCAAAAACAATTGAATACGTCAATCAATCCTAATTTATGTCATATACAAACATACCAAATCTAGTTATTTTATCTGAATAAATAAAAAAGTTATAGGGGTAAGCCACTTTTGAGACGCACCCGGTATAAACGCAATAAACTGACAAAAACTTCAACTGTACAAGTAAATCTCAAAATGAAATATTATTATGCCTACTGTTACGCCGATTTATTTGATGACACTGCACTCAAATATGGGTAAGTTATAATATTACATTTTCGGCATATTATAATAAAAGATTATAAAAGCATTAGCATGCGACTGTTTTCCTAAATTTTTAGCCACGTTGGCCTTGGCACTTTTAACACTAAAATTTTGTAAATAATATCTTAAATGTAAATGTTAATTATTCCATTATAACAAAGCAGATCTAATAATTTGATTGTATTATATTTGAAGAATTGTCAGAGATTTTTTATTTGAATCCATTTTATCTTAAGACGACAATTCTTCTCCTTTGGTATGAAATTTGTAAAAAAAAATATTTTTTTTAATATATTGTTGACATTTAAAGAATACAATATATACATACCATATGATCACAAAAATAGGCGTCAAATTGGCTTGGAAGTAATGGTCAATGACATTTCCAATATCATTTTTCATGACAACGATCACTGATTAATTACCAGGCCAACTCTAACTCCATTTTTTTCTCGATTGTATGGTATTTTTAATATACGCATTATGTATATAGAAAAATGACAGACTATTCCAAAAAGCCCTATATCAGATTTCCTGTTTAGGATTTCTTTTAAAAATATGCCAGCAAGGGTAATGCATTTTTTTTCATTAAATCTAATATGGACTTTTTTTAAACAGTGGGTCATCCAGCATATGATTCAAAAGTTTAGTTAAGCATTTGAATTAATTGGGTTATGTAATGTTAATATTTAGTTGTGTTAGAGATCCCAAGAAATATTTTTATATATAAAATCAAAAGTTCTTTGCATATATATCTATATGAAGGAATTTGCATATAAACTATTATTTCTTAATTCTAACCCCATTTTACATACAAAACCAACTTAACAAAAAATTTAAACAATTCAAATTTGGAAAATATCGTTAAAAGATTAAAAAATGAAACTGATAATGAACATGGCATATTTTCCAATACCCACAAAAGAAAAAAGACCAAAGAAAAAATAGTAAAAAATAGGGCATCTCTAACAAAACCTGATTTAATAAGTTAAAAATATAAGATTTTTATGAAATCTGCTTTTCCAGATCTTTCTACCAGATCCTCCCAGTACCTTCACGACTATCTTGTTCAGAATGAAATATCACTGTAGCTACACTAATTGAACACAAACATAATGTTATAATTCCCATAATAATATAAACAGAGGTGATCAACCAGAAAGCAAATAAGTACAGATTTTTGTTACAGTATTTTCCAGATGTTGGATCATAGTTAGGCTCATATTCTTTATAAACCCAAACTGAACCAATAATGAACCATCCCAACATGAAGCAGTTTAAAAGGGTCTGTGTTGGAGACTGTCTTAAGTTTTCTTCCTGTCTTTCTTCCTCAGTTTGTCTTACTCTAGCAGATAAATGTAATAGCTGCTTTAAAATACCAAAAATACCTTAAAAAAACATAGTAAAGTTCAATAACTTCACGAAAAATTAGAAAACACTTACCACCCACCAATAAATAAACTGGAATGTATTCACCTTGTGGGCACTCATGTAAATATATAGAACCAATAATAATCATACATATTGGGACAACAATTGTAACACCTAATATGATAGAACAACCAACTGAAAAATAACTGGTTAAAATTCAAATTCTGTTCAAAATAAGTGTACTTACGAGTTCCTAAAACAATAATTATGACGTTTTTTAAGAAATCTATGACCCCTTTGCTTGATTTTTGTGCTTCTCGTACTCTCCCAAACAGAGAATCGTATGATGGTGGTGGTGCTACAATAATTCTTTTAAAACTCGTTTTATTGCAAAGTTATGTTTTTACCATTGGGGTTGATGGCTTCCTCATACGAAGGGGGTGCCCCAATTTCCTCATGGGCACTGTAAACCCTTCCCTGGACATTGTATAAGGGAGGCGGGTTTTGAAATATGTTGGCACTTGTCATATGATTAACTTTCTATGAAATACTTCCAAAAAACTAGGTTTCTACTACATAATAAAATTAACGACACAACTCACTCTCACAGCATTGTTAATTGTTATTTTGAACACAAATTGTGTTCGTTTCACGGTATTTCACGGATTATCAAAATTGGGCTAAAGGTTGGAGTAGTTTTTATATCTATTGACATCGGTCATCCTGACATTTCAAGTTATGTCGTTGTGCACTTGTGCAGTGACAGTAGTTCGTTTGAACCTTAAATTTTGGATGTTGTTGGTAGTCAGCTAAAAGGATGTATAAAATAAATTAATTCTCCATTTTCAATATCAAAATTTAAGAATAGAAACCGTATATATTCCTTGACCACTGGCCTCTTCAATTCAAATATCACTCGCATCTCCGAGAAAGCCATATAATGCGTATGTATATACAATGTTGCGAACCAGGAGCGGAACCCATGAAGCGGAACCCCAAACCAAAGCCCAAACCCTTCAATACAATAAATTCATTTTATTCGTCCGTTTAGCGAACGACTAGACATATCATTTTTTATCATTGACAGTTGACACTGACACATTTATTTAACCTATAAAAAATATTCTGACAAAAAGTCAATCAAAAAGTAAACATTGAAATCTGTGATTGAAATTGAAAATATTATTGGCATAGGCATATATACTGGCAATTGCCCAGTGGCAAAGCCAAAACCGAAACAAGACAAAATATTTGTAACTCCCAGAGACACTCTTTTATGGCAATAGTGGCAATTGCCTAGTAGATAAACCCCATTTAGCAAACCCATAACCCAGAGAAGACAACTTCAATTTTTTTAAAATGTAATATATGAGTCATATTGGGTGACTAGATAGTTATTTAAACCGAAAACTGCCGAAAAGTAGTGTTTTTTAAATAAAGACAATGAGTCGGTCCGCCACTAAACCAGCTGACGACAAACAGATTGATAATTTAATACAAGAAAATGTTGTAAATTGGCAATCAGCAAGTAATCCATTGGCCCCATTAAATGAAGAACAAATTGATCTATTTTACGAAATTGGAGATGTCGTTAAACAACTCTATAATGAAGGAAATGAAAATACTGAGGAAGTTAGAGTAAAAGATACCGATGATAATATACCACTTATAACAAATAACATAGATTTTGTAAAGTGGATGGTATCAGTTGAAAAAGAAATTCAAGATGAGAATTTTAGTAATTTTCAAGAATATTCAAATTTACTTTCAAAACATTTGGATAATTCAAAATATTTGCTTACATTATCTGATACCTCTTTAGATTCCTTGTCTGTATTGAGGGAAAAATACGAAAATGTTGTTGAAAAAACTAATTATTTACATAATTTAAGTGAACAGTTAATGATACAACAGAAATCTTTGAAACAAAAGAAAGCAGATATCAATTCTAGATTAAAGTACTTTATATATTTTCCTAAATGCCAAGAAGTAATAGATAACTTTGGCCATAACAAAGTAAATAGTACAGAATTTATTGAAGCTCTTAATAACATTGATTTAGCTATAGACTACCTGAATGAGCATATGTCATTTAAAGAATCCAAGGTATATAGAATTAAGTACGAAAGTCTTTTAAATACAGCTTTACTACATGTCTATAATTTTGTTAATAGTATTTTGGTTGAGACCTCAAAACATATAACTACAAACAGTGATAATGGGGACATTTTACTTCAACATCACCGAGACTCAGTATCAGATACAATTTTTACTTTATACTATGGAAAATTTCAAAGTTCTTCAGTAAAAGTTAAACAAATACTTGAATGTATTGAAAAGAAAGTAGAAGTAAGCGATTATTATAAAAATATAATGTACGACTGTCAAAGTAGTTACTTCCATCAACGTTTGCCTATACTTGAAGCAGCCGTTTCAAAAGCTTTACAAGAACTAAAAAACCAGCACAAAACTGATTACAGTGTGTTGTTTAGATCATGCTGTATATTTACAATTAAGGTGTGTACTGATGAAGTAATGTGCTACAATTTTTTCTTCACAAATTTGTCTCCACAATTGCATGACTATTTGAGTTCTCTATGTCAACATTTATATGACATTCTCCGTCCTTGTCTAATTCATATAAACCATATAGAGATTTTATGTGAGCTATGTAGTATTTTAAAAGGTGAAATGTCTAATGAAAAAAATGTTTCAAACCAATGTCTGCTTCGTTACGTTGAGGTAATAAGACAGCTTCTCGAAGATGTTGAAGAGAGGTTAGTTTTTCGAGTAAATATGTTCTTTAAACATGATTTAAGTGATTATAAGCCTTCTCCTGGAGATCTGGCATATCCAGAAAAGCTTCAACACATGGTGGATGTAATAGAAGTAAGAGAAAGAAGGCCCGATTCTCGTATGTCTATACAGTCAAGTGAATCCCAAGATATAAACCCACTAGATGCTTCACAAATACCCCATTTCAGATCATATACTGGCAATTCTCCGGCAGATTTGCATGGAATGTGGTATCCAACTGTCAAAAGAACTTTAGTATGTCTTTCAAGATTGTATTTTTGTTTAGATAGAGAGACGTTTCAAAGTTTGGCTCAAGAAGCTTTAATTATTTGTATAAATACTTTAGAGAATGCTGCAGGTTTAATATCAGCTCGTAAAACAGCATCTGACGGAAAACTGTTTGAAATAAAGCATCTGCTCATTATAAGGGAACAGATAGCACCATTCCAGGTTGATTTAACAAATAAAGAAGTTGCACTCGATTTCAGTTCAGTACAAAAAGCTGCCATGGACTTAGTACAGAAAAGACGACAAATATTTACTTTTGGAAGTAACAACGCACTTCTAGAATTTCTGTTAGATGGTACCCCAAAAGTTAAGGAATATCTGGTTGATTCTAGAAAAGAGATTGATAAAAAATTAAAGTATAGTTGTGAATCTTTTATTGCATATGTCACTAAATTGTTGATTGGGAATATTTTGGATTTAGTAGAGAAATGTGAGGCATTTATTAAAGCATTTAGCGATAAGAATAGTGAAACTTTAAGTAAACAGGAGTTTGCTAAATCCAGTGTAGTAGCAGGTGAGATTAGTTTTTATTTCACAAGAATAGGTATTTTAGAATCTGTTTACTTATTTCTCTAAAGTGTTTATTAAAATTTAAAAAAAAAATATTTTTTAGACTTAATAAAACAATCCGAAAAATGTATGAAGTTGAAAATACCAGAAATTCAAAAATCAATGCAACTGTACCTGTCTAACAAAGAAACCGAGTTCATTTTATTCAGGCCAATCAAAAATAATATTATTAATGCTTTTATACAATTGGAACAGATTGTTCTAAAAGGAGGTTACACTGCTGATGATCAGTTAGAAATTGCCTGTCCCACCCCCGAGCATGTCAATATTTTGATTTGTTCAGTGTCTCTGACAGGAGAGTGAAAATGTAGTGAATGTATTAAAAAATAAAACTGTATGAAAAAAAATAAGTAAATAAAGGATAAATTTGATAATTTTGTGTTTACAATAATTTCAGAATTGTCTGTAATTTTGAATACAAACTTGATTTTCTGAGGTACAGTTTGTTCTTCCCATGCAATTATCCCAATTTTTGACATTGTATACTAGGGTCGGCGATGTTTGAGTTTGAGTCGAGATTTCCGTATGTAAGAAGACTACAACGCATTTGTAGAATGTAGAATGAGTAAGAGGGGTGGGGGTTAATCACTGCGACCTTAAAGATCTATTGTGCCCCCCTTCCTTGAGTCATCACACACTCATAACCCATCATACCCCTGTTGTAGAGGGGACAGGGTATTTCCCATCCTCCTCTAACAACAGTTCTTCCTCCGAGGGTACAGACCCTTCCACGGTTGGAGTTTGGCCCTCCGTGTCACCCTTCACAGTCGAGGAGCTTGCCTCCGGCTGAGGAAACCATGAGGTGGAGGCTGGAGGATCTGTCTCCATTTTCTCCACCTCTTTAACTTGGTCTCTTCTTAGACCTGTTGTCCCATATCTATAATAGAGGATATGTCCCTCTTTCTCTATTGCCTCCTTGGATTTGAGGTCAATTCCTATTGTGAGGACCTGACCATGGCCCTCCTCCCTCGCGTTGATGACTCGCCAACTCGATGTCCTTACAGTGAAGTTCTGACCCTGGATAAGGCTCAGGAGGTAGGTGGTGTATTTCCCCTTGCTCCTCGGCTTTAGGGATGTTTCTCCCTTCACTGCAACCAGTTCCGGCCCCTGCCAATTTTTAAGCTTAGGTGCAATTTCCACCAACCAATTCGCCGATTCTTGAGAAACACAATCTATGAGGATCATGCCCACCCGAAAATGTATCCCCGCAAAACGCAGCTGACCCACATTTTGTAGATCGTTGTGTTGCGATCCGATCGCCACTACTTCGTCCAGTATATCCTCTTCTAGAGACGTTTGCTGGTCGGTGGTCAGAGCAACCTCTGGGAAATCCTTTGGCAGCACCGCCATTTTCATTTGTCCAGCAATAGCGGCAAAGCTGGTGATACGTCCCTGCTTGCCTCTTATAACGCATTTATAATGTACTGAACAAAGAGAGAAGAGTAAAAAGGTTGCCAAACGGATGAAATAAAACGAGAAACCGTGTACATTGCTAAGAGACGTGGAAAGGAATATGGCAGCTTCGTCGCGGTTGACACTGTGTTACGCCGCATAAACATAAAATTAAAATCCAGTACTTAGAATTCTAGGGGAGGGCATATTATTCCTTCCTTAATCTTCTTATTCAAAGAAATAAACAGTATATACATAGTGACATTGTAGGATACACTACTAAAACATCATAATTAAAAATTAGTTTATTTGTTATTTCTTTTTTCATTATGTATATTAAAAACAATTATAAAACAGAAAATATAAATATATACATAACAATATTATGTATACCCAAAGTTTTTTCCCGTGAAAAAAACGATGGTATAACTAGAAGAGATGTTAGCAGTGGGGGGCTTGTTATGGTGATGATTGTAAGGCACATCAGTACAGCATTATTATTTGATTTGAATATTTGTCAGTAATGCAAACCTTTCGATGAAGCAGGCCTGGAAATAAGATAGATTATACAGGATGTTTCTTAAATACGCGCAAATATTTTAGCTGAAAAAATGCACCTATAAGTTTTCATTAAGAAAGTGTATTTTTAATATTTCCTGTATATTTTACAAAACTTTTCAGAACTGCCATTACATCTGAAATGTTCTTATATGACCTTGTATTAAGGCAACGTTGCCAAAAAGTGACAACATGGCTATATTTCTAATTTTATCTTTTCTCTTCACAATAATTGAAAAAAAAAGTTGGTTGGCTTGTATTTAATTTTTGTAAAATCTAATGAACATATGATTAATCTACAAAACTGATAGATTACACAAACACCTAAACAAAGAATGAAAGTGAAACAATTGCTAAAATAGGTACATAATATATTAATATCTAAAAGAAAAAAAAAATATTATGGCAGCCAATGGGTAATGATTTATTCGTAACAGTGGCAACGTAGGTACGGTAATCGCAAAACATTTTCCGATGCACGTCAACAATCATATCGAAATTGACACTAAAACCATCCAAATTGACAAACCAAACCAAACCTGACTAAATTAAATTTTGACAAAGATGTTTAAATTTGTTGTATAATTTAAGATACCGAGCAGCTTTTTGTTTTACTTTTTAGAGCAAATGTCTGTAATAGATATAATTTAGATTATAGATGCAAAAATTAGTTTAAACCGAATTTTATTATCGCCATGTCGGTCACATTGCGCCGCAATCAGCCTCGTTGTTTATTATTTGACAATTATTATCATAATGTTAGTCATTATTTTGTATAATATCGGGTTTTTGTTGAATCTTTGGGAGTAATGCTCTTTTTTTTGTCCATTTTCATAGTCTTTTTTTTTAATTGTACTTTTAAGCGCAAACAGTTCTTTTAAGAACAAAATTTTGGAGTTTTTGTATTGCATTTCTTGAAATTGTGTGTTGAAAATATGCCGAAGCATTTAAACAGTCAAAGCAAGCGCTTGTAGCTTTCCTGATAAACTATTTTGAACGAGAACGTGACAATAAAGGTCCTTTATTACCCTTGACTGCAGTCAGAGAAGTAAAGTTTGATTGGTAAGCAGATTATACCACTTTCAAAGTTATTTCTATTTATTTTCGATTTGCAGCGAGTAGCTCCTGCCTTAAATTTAAATATTTCTACAGTGAGTGTTACTGCTGTTAATAATAATTATTAAATTAAAAATAAAACGTAAAAATCTTTAAAAAACGATATAATATCCATCATAATCTGGCAGCGCTATCGCCATCGCTTGTCACTCAAAGTTGATCACGTGCATCGGAAATTGTTTTGCGATTACTTTAGTCGATAATTTGGGGGCTTTCAAAATGTTAAACACTGTCAAAGTTTAAACTTAAATATTTCAGTTATTTTCGACTTGTTTGAATTTTTTTCTACCAGCCTTCAAAATATTTGCACTTATTTATTAAGAACATAAATTACACAGTATAAAAATAAAGGCCGTTTTACAGTTCGCAATTTTACTTGCATGCAAGAAAAGTTTCGCCAAATTTTACCAAAACGCATAGGCAGTCTACAAGTTATAGATAATAATTATTTAATATCACAAACATCAGATGGATGATGTTAAACGAAAAGGAACCAAGCGCCAAATTACGAAAACTGAGTAAAAGGCATCATCCGACAGAGCAGTGTTCAATGTATATGGGGAAAAAGATCCACGCTACAATTAGGTGTTTCAGTGACATCTATTGAACAGGGTCCTAAGCACCACCACTGTGTAGGAGTTTTTTGAATTTTTCTAAAAGGATCCAAGCGACAATTCCTTTTATATGTATGTCCGTTTTCTGTTGATTCTCTTTAAATGTTTGTTTAGCCGCGTGCTTTTCACATTAATACTACAAAACTATTATAAAAAAGAAAGGCATTAGCCTAAAACAAGCGTAAACATAGGAATTAGTGAAAGATCTAAAAGTATTGTGTTGGCTGCTTGGGAAAATATAATTTTCGAAACGATGGATAAAGGAGACTTCTATTCTACAGAACAAACAGAGAAACAAATCTGCAATAGTTACTGTAAACCATGTTGTAGATTTTCTTTTTGGTTACAAGTAACCAAGAACTTGGTTCTTTTTTAAAACTGATAACAGTACTCCGGTATTTCTTAAAAAAGAATTATGCGCCAAATGTTTATTAAAATGTGTAAAGTTTGAAGCTATGTTTTGTCAAAAATTCAGATTTTCCAGATTTTACATTTTACCAAAATATTATCTAAATAAGCGCCTTTCTACATCAACGCCACTTACTCTCAATTGGTAAATTGGGAGTTGCCTACCAAAATGGATTATTTAAGTCAAATTTCTTGCAAATTTGGCACTAGCGAACCATATTTTATAGTTCTTGAATGGAAAAAGTAAATAAAATAAACACTTAAGGACTACAAACTAAGAAAATGCGATAATACAGCCAGGGAAGTAGTGGCAACAATGCTTTACTACACACGTGCGACGCGTACTACAAGATAATAAAAGAATGAATAGGCGACCTCGCATCTAATCGGTGTTGCCATATTGTAAAGAATTTATCTTTTTTAAATAGTATCCAACTTATAATTTAGTAGTATAAGGACTATTTAATACATGCATGGAATATTAAAACCTACTTTATTAAAATGAAGTATTAATATCTCAATATATGTATATAAGTTTATATAAGAAAAAAATATTGAAAATATTAAAGACGTGACAACATAGGCTGGATGAAGAAGGCTCGGTTGGCGGCGGTCGACTGTACCCAGAAGTAAACATGTGTACAAAAATGATTGTTTGATCGCGTTTGAATGTAAATCGTGTAGAATATGTTTTATTTTAAGTCTATGTAGATTACCAATTGCTTAACATAACCTCACATTTATATTTTTAGTTTCATTAATAAACGAATAAATTGACAAACGACGCGATAAAATAATATTCTAATAAAACCTGCAACTTAATTACGGCAAGTTGCTGCAACTTTTCTTGCATGCAAGTAAAATTGACAACTGTAAAAGGGCCTTAATAATTCTGTACCTGGTATTTTGACTACGAAGACCAGGGATTCGAGATTGAGGCCTGGGAATCCCAGTAGGTCTTGGCAAAGCACTTACAGGAATTGTAGGTACAGCAAACACCTTTTCCTTTGGGAAGTTCTGCAATAATTTATAAAAATACCTAAATTAAGTAGAATCATTATTTACTTTATCTGTCAAAAATATACTTCGTAATTTACGGTAATAGCCCTGAAGTTCATAAGATTTTACCAATTAAAAACATTTTTAACTTTTAATGTAAATATTCTTTTAAAATTAACTGCCCTAAAGAAAATACCAACAGGAATTCAATTATCAGGAATCCTGCCATTGCACAGACCACAGACTATATATTTACCTCGGTTTTTGCATTCGGTCTGGTGATCATTTGTACCACGTTTGGGGTAACCCCAACTGGTGGCGCTACGGGCAAGTTCGCACTGATCGGTCTCAAACTTGTGTAAGATCCTTTCAATTGAGAGCCCATCGTTTTTAAATTGCTGGCTGAAGGTGGACGAATCGAATTTCTACTGGATGGTTTCGATAACCTCGGTTGGGAACCCCCTAAGAACAATATCACAGATAAAGAAACAATACAAAAGTTTGTAAATATTTACTTTATTAAATTCTCTTAAAATTATGGAAACGTTATTATAATTATCATACAAGTTAGACCTTTTGAAGATAGCAAAATATTTACTGTTTATTGTTTTTTTTTAATTTTCACAAATTATACTTCCTAAAGGCGCATTCTCACGACTCGTCTACTTGGCAAGTATTTTTTATTGGTATACGGGGTATACACGGTGCGTCGGGCCTCTATACAGAATTTCTAAGTTATTTATTATAGGGAGCTACGCCGCACTGCCTTCCAGACCCTGTAGGCTAATAAAAATACTTACCAAGTACACGAGACGTGAGAATGCGGCTTAACACTTTTAGGATAATTATACAAACTTTTTTTCGTATACTCGCTATTTAAACCCGTGTGTTTGTATATACCGATTGTTTACGATATTCTCCGATGGTGGCAGCACCGGCGGAGAATATACCAAACCTATACGTTAAGATATTAGCTTACTTACCGAAATTTGATGATGCAGTTTTCAGATTGCTAATATTATTATAAGATCCCTTAAAATTAATTGGCAAAGCTTGCAATGGCCTCTGATTCGATATGTTTTCAGTTCTGTGAATTCTTCTCATTTTAGTATCTTTGTTACTATCAGTTTGCTTAATATAGGTATCTACATTTGAAACCTACAACGAAATAACATGTTTATAACAAAGTTTTTTTGTCAGTGTAAGCCATGAAAGCCAGAAGTTGGATATTAAGTTTTTTTGAATTCTTTTATCACAAAATTTAAAAGAACTACATAAGTACATACCCTAGAATATAATGTACTTTTTGTTTGTTTGTCAAGACTAACAATGGGGGAAAGAAAATTATTTTCCCATAATTTATCCACTCCCATGTTAACTTTGGGTGTCGACATTAGTCCTGGTAAAACTAAAATTATAAAATAAATAATATCAGAATTTATATTATTTTAAAAGTAGATAAGTAAAAACAAATCTTGGATTAACTCTATCATATTAAGAATTAACCATGCTAACCTCTACCTCTGTCGACTGTAAGGTCATCTATATCACCAATATTGAGCATTTTATTTGATCCCCTACTACTATTCGATAAACTACTTGTCCTGTCCAAACTTTCGGCAGATCCTAAGGATAACCTAAAAAATTAGAGTTAAAATAGAAGTTTCTATTTAAGAAATTTTAAATACTCAATATTTCTGACTTGGAGTGATATTAAAAGGACTTAGTATACAGGGTGTTGATAAAAATGAATGGTAGTTTGATATATAATAGTTGGTTTAAATATAATAATCGTGGTACAAAAGAACAAAAATGACGAAAAATGCTTTTATTTTTGCCTTAAAAGTTGAACGTAACTTAACGTAATGGAAATTTTTTATTTACTTTATGTATTAGTAATATGAAAACACACTATATGCATATTAAGCAAAATAAAAACACTAAATCACCACAATACACCAAAACACTTTTACTTTTAGAGTAAACGCCACGAATGTTTGGGAGTGATTCATGGGTCGCTACCAGGCCCTAGACACTCAATGGTAATTTCATGGAACTACAAATTTAGTTTCTTCCGCATCGCCAGACGGCGCAAAAGACGTTAAAGTACAGGTTTCTAATTTATATATGAAGTTGACATGACAACCTCTAGATTTACAACCATCTATGGTCTAGTTTTGGTGTAGTTGTCAAAATGTTGGTGATCCGTCAAATTATTTTTAAATCATTTTTAAATAATTATTAATTCAGATGTTCTTGATTTTCCGGAAAGTTCGGTGATTTGTGTTTATAGTTTGTGTTTTTATTAGTTTGTGCATTTTGTTATTTACAGTTGATCATCATTTTCTTGTTAGATACTAAACTTTTTTTATTAGCATTTTAGACATCTTAGATTTATAATACATTTATGAACGAAATAAAAGAAAAATGTTTAATCATAAATAAGTAAGTATTCAATATTATATTTTTAGTAACAGTTAATTAGTAGTCTATAACATTTTTACTATATTGTAATTTATTTGTAAATCAAAAAAATAGGCGCTATGTGCTGCTCTATTGTTGTTAATTTCATAATTTTATTTTTAGTTTTGAATATGTTACACTTCTAATGATCTAATAAAACAAAATATAGTAAACAAGTCCATATTTATTATTTTATATTTTACAAGAAGGAATTTTGCGCTTGAATAACGTTACCGTTTTAGTTAGCGTTAATAAATAACGGAATGCTAAAATTATGTTATGCGAAAACTCTCCATTAGTTTCTTCCGGATCACCAGGTGGCTCTAAATGACGGATTTATTTCTTTTATATCAGTCTCCAATCTATCTCTAGTACGTGAAATTAGTTTATGGTCGCTACCATGTGAACTAATCTGTTCAAGGTCACATAAAACTTAATTCCAGTGCCGTGGTGTTTCAAGTCATATAATAATCAATATATATAATCTGTTGTAATTTGTTGTTTTAACTGTCAAAGTCTTGTCAAAACATATATTTGGTTATAAATATAAACTGGAATGCCCCATTGGTCGTACTGCAAGCACACCAATGGACTGACGCACAAAAACGAATCAATCAAAGAAACGCGATATAGTATCGTCTTTGTCAATCACGCTAACATTTTACAATAAGTAGGAGGAGCGCAGGAAGATGATTAGATCGGGCCTTTAAAAACCTACGTCTGCGGTAAAAATTTACGTTTTTAATGTAAAAATGATAGCGCGCGTGTCGATTCTAACTTCATCAAGTGATGAATCACTCCCAAACATTCGCGGCGTTTGCTGTACACTGGACGCGCGTTTCGCTAACCATGCTAGCATCATCAGCAGATGATTATAAAACTGAGTCAGTTTGGTTTGGTTAGGTTAGGCTGAGTCAGTTTTATAATCATCTGCTGATGATGCTAACATGGTTAGCGAAACGCGCGTCCAATGTAAAAGTAAGTGTTTTGGTGTATTGTGGTGATTTAGTGTTTTTATTTTGCTGTGTAACACCAAAGGTTCCAACCCTCAACTGTAATATGCATATTTTTCATTTTTTTATAATGAGATAGTATACCTCTGTTATTATTTGCTGTCCTCCATTCGCGAACTTCGAGTTCCGGGCTTTACGCCCTGGGGCTACTCGAGAACGGTTCTGAAAGGAGCGGTGCGCGATAGCCTGGTGCCTCCATATGGCGCGGAACAGTTCTGGAGCTTTATTACTCAATTGAATGAAGTGAGAGTATCGCGTTCTTGAACAGTTCAGAGCTGCTCAACTGCGTGAAAGGAGGACAGCAATTGTTAACAAAATTTAAAATAAAAAAAAACTTACTCAATGTCTTAGAAAAAAATATTTTCATATCAGAAACTACTTCTTGCATGTTTTTTTCACAAAACTTACTAATTTGAAATTACATATAAAATAATATATCGGTGAGGGAAAAAGTTTTATGAAAAATCTAAAGGACCGATGTTATATTATAATGCCTATATAGAGTATTTTCTAATATTTCTAGCAAAAGAAGACGTCACACAAATAATATCCTGCGCGTACCCAATTGTGTCCAATTATGTGCGTTGTGTTATTTTACTTCTTATGTTTGATACACGTTGAAATATTTTGTATTTAATTTGTTAAAATATTGACTTTTATGGTTAACTAGTCGAGTGGTAAAAGATATTTCTAAGTTAATTTAGCGCTCTCTGATGGTAGTGGGGTGTACTTGCCAAAAGAGGCGTCAGAGGCTAGATTTTGATTATTTGTTACGAAAATTGAGATAAAACTAGACTGAAATAAAAAAATAAGGATATCATAAAATTATATGACATTCACAGTATTCAAAATATGCTAAAACATTTGATTTAACTCTTACCTCTCATTTTCTACAGGCCTCTCAAACTCCACCTCCTTGTCCCCAAATTCGTCATCTTCAAGATTCCTCTCCCCCTCCTGGCAATAACTCAACTTATTCAAGTCCATATTCGAGTACCGTCTCTTCAATTCCTCCACGCTATCAGTCCTTTTGATTATCTTAGTACTATTAGTATCACCTATAGTCCTAGTACTATCCAAATCCTCAGTATACTTATCTATGTCAGTCTCTATGCTCTTCGACACCTCTTTGTTGTCGTAGATGTTGAGCTGCTTGTCATAAGTGAGATTAAGGCTCAACCGATTTGGATTGTCCGCTTTGCGAAAGGTAGCGTTGCGTTTGGGGGTTTTTCTGTAGGTACCGTTTAGGATGGTACTGTTGGGGCTCGATTGGCTGTTAGATTCTGCTCTATGGCTCGTCGGGGTAAAGGTGCTGTCTTGGCTGTTGGTGTCAGACTTGTCTGAAATGTCAATAAATCACCAACGATTACCATGAGAAATATTCAACTTAAGAAGTACAGTACGTCTGTCCGTTCTATAGCTACGGGGTATCCGTGAGAGGGGAAACGATATTCTCTCGATGTTTTTCGTAAAAAATTAGACGACGCGTCTCATCAATAAAAATTCGACAAATTTTCAAGTGGCCAATAAAATGAGTGGGCGGAGCGATTTGCGGTGACGTACTCGTCAAGTCGACGAATAAAATATATTGTTGTTTATTTAAATGTTTTTTGTCCGCATTCCTTTCATAGACACAGATCCAGCAGACGTACTATATATGTCCTTTGAAAAAAAAAGAGAGTTAGGAGTTTAGGTATAACAACAAAATAATGACTGATCAGCGATCTATTATTTTTAAATCTGCTAGGGAGTAAATATACTCTGTTTTTTTTTTCTCAGGTAAGATTTCGACAGACAATGACAGAAGAAAAGCAGATGACGTCTCATACCAATCTATTTATTTTACTAAAAAAAGTTTCTAATATTTTTTAAGTTAACTATGGATGGGTTTAAATATAAATCCGTCATGCGTCGTCTCTTGTTGTTTTTAACCAGTTTTATTGGTTTATTTCAAAAATGACAGATCATATTTCAATTTTATTGGTTTGACGGAACGATGAACGACAAATGGACTCGCATTTAGATTTTTGAAGCTTGTTAAAGTCTTGCCAAATTATAGGTTATAATTTTGTGTCAACTTATGTCAAATATCTGCGTTTTGAAAGATGATGCATTTTGATTCGTGTTATTACGTGTGTTTTGTGTCTTTTGAAGTCAAGTGGAGGAAAAATCGAGGAGGAATCGAAGAGGAAAAATTAACTGTAGATCCAGAGCACAGTTTATAGTTAATACTCGTTGCCCAGGCAGAAAGTCTTATAGAGCAATAAAGTTACCATCAATAAAGTTTGTATACCATCTCGTCGTAGATAAGTGTTTCTCGTATATGGTACAAGGATCGTACTAAACATACTCGTATTACTCGTATTACTCGTATACTACTGTAGTAGCTATAAAATATCGACATCACACGATAGGTAAATAATGGATTTTAGTACTGCAGAAAAATAATGTCAAAAGGTACTGGTTTAAAAAAATTGAGATTAAAGTTAACTAATCAACCTTTAAGGTATAAAATTTGGTAGGTGTTATTATTAATAAAATAGTTTGTTTTATTTATTCCTGTGAAATATTACAAATTTGTATTTGTACATAAGTTATATTGATAAATATTATAATAAATGCGTGAAGTTTCTTGAAGCTTGAAAATGAGAAATAGTTCTTTTTTATATTTTTTTGGTATGTGATGTTTTGTTCTTGTTTGTTTTGTATTAACACATACGTTTTTTTTTAATAAAATAACTCGATTACATTTTTTCAGTTTTATACGGTTTTTTTTTCGCAATATTTTGAAGTAATCACTTATCAGTCAAATTTTAAATAATGTTACGGATTCCGTGGGTCCACTAATTTAAACTCACGATAAAATACTTAACGAATTTATTTTCTCACTTTATACACAATTACTAACTTATAACACACAACAAACTAACTATTTATAAGATTCCTTCACCAAATTGTCCGATTTTCAATTTCCACGCGGTATATTCAAATTTCAAAAACTGTCTCCGTTGTCGATGGCTCCGGCTTATATACTCTATTGACTGCTTCTCGAAATTTCCCCAATTCTCGGAAAGCGTACTTCTTCATACCAGACAATTCTATTGTCTGATTCCCTTACTCCTCGACTTGACTAAAAGATGGCGCCTGAAAAAGTCTTTTAATTTCTGGCGGATACGTTGCGGTTGTGCAGGCAACCAGTAATACATTTTTAATTTCTGGCGGATGCGCCATTTTCTTGACATTGCCCCCTTCTCAAATTTGATCGTCCCGATCAAGGTTTCCTGTCTGGTATCTCTTCAATCGATCCAGATGAACTACTTTCATCTTACTTCTAGGGCTGCGTTGAATCCGGTACACAACATCATTTATCCTCTTGATGACTGTATAAGGACCTTCCCATGCTGGAGTTAACTTTGGGGACCTTCCTTTCTTGCGCTGTGGGTTATACAACCATACCCTATCGTCCTGTTGAAATCCCGTAGAATTAGCTCTGAGGTCGTAACGAGCTTTCATCCGGTCACTGGCTAGCGTAATCTTACTTCTCACGGCCTTATGAATTCCCAATAATCTTTCCTTCCTAACGATTCTTTCGAACGACAGTCCAACGTTATCTTGTTCCATTTTTCCTCCAGATCGAGTACTTGGTCCTTGTCTAGCTGCGCAAATCTTACAACGTTGACACCATTTCTTAACATCTTCACAATAATCCACCCAGTAAAAGCGATCTCAGCTTGCTCAAGGTCTTGTTTACTCCAAGATGGGCTCCAGTTCTACCACCGTGAATTTCTTCCAATACCTGGGTAACTTTCTTCCTTGGTACCAGTAACTGAGTTGTTACTGTCCTGCCATCCGCACTTTCCCACGTGCGCTTTAACAATCCATTCTCAATCACCAGTGAATTCCACTGAGCCCAGAGAGCTTTGAAAACGAGCCCTCTGTCCGCAATATCCTGCCACGGTGGTCTCTCGCCGTTACCTTCCCTGAGCCGTAGTATTGCTCCGATGTCTGGATCTTCCATTTGATCTTTCCTCAATTGTAACGTCGTCCATTGTTCGTCAGCTCTCAGTTTAAAATTCTTTACTCTGATAGTGCTTTCGCGATGTTGCATTTTCTTGTCCAAGGTAGCTCGTCGTCGATCTAGGTCGTTGTCGATAATTTGTACCCGTCCTACACGGCACCCAGAGGTTTCCTCTATTTTCTCGAACACAGTCTTCTTGGTATCATCACAATTTTCGATGATCTTTCTTCCATATTTCCTGGTCTCTTCTCTTTAGATACAGAAAATTCCTCATTTCCGATTTTCAGGATGTTTCTATGGTGATCGAACGAAAAACCATGTTGACTGATCACATCCATACCCATGATAAAATCATCTTCAATGTCTGCCACTAAAACGCTATGCCGAAACTTCAAATTCCCTAACTCCAGTTCTATGAAAGCCTCTCCCCGTACAACGGCCATTTCCCCGTAACTGTACGTAAATACACTCTTCTTCTAAGAGGCATCATCTTCAATCCTTGCACTGAGTTAGTCCGCACCAACGATACCATAGCGCCTGTGTCCACAGTCATTCGAATTCTTCTACCATTGACCTTCCCGTTGATCACCAAACTGTCAGCGGTTTTTCCTAGACTCTAACGGAAAACATCCTAAGGGCTCTGTTTTCTTCAGCCAATACTCGCTCATTAGTGTTGATTTCCTGGTGCCTATGTTCTCTCGATGGTAAACGGAATCGCATTTGGACGCGGCAATCCCGTTTGATGTGGCCATTCCTGCCACATCTATAGCAACTTATGTCCTGGGATCTTCCGATGTGCCGATGTTCTCTTAATGATGAACGGAATGGCATTTGGATGCGACAATCCCGTTGGATATGGCCATTCCTGCCACATCTATAGCACCTAATATCTTGGAATCTTCTCTGGTTCTCTGTCTGGGTGTTGTTGACTCCCTTGTTTATTAGTAGCTCACATAGTTTGACGAATTTTCTACACATCTCCTCCAAACTTCTGTGGGTACTCTCGGGCTGTTCCTCTACCGTTACCGATCTTATCTTCGGTCTAGGGATGGCGCTAAAAGCAGCTTCGATTTCCAGCGCCCTGACCAGTGCTTCGCTGCTGGTGGAAAATCGGGATATTTGCAGCGCCCTCTGCAATTCATTGTCCCTCAGTCCGCTAATAAAGCACTGAGCAGCGAGTTCCTCCCTAAACCCTTCCGGTGCTTCTGGGTATGCTAGGTGTACCAGCCGACGTAAGTCTGCTTCAAATTCCTGCAGACTCTCTCCGGACCTCTGCAGGCGCGTCTTGATCTGGGCCTGGTAAAGTTGACGTCGATGTTGGTCGCCATATCTTCTGTCCAATGCAGCAACCAAAGCCTCATACTCCTGCTGTTGGGCTGCAGGAATAGTTTGTAGCAGTTCCAGGGCAGGGCCACGCAGCGCGATGACAAGTGCCGCTGCTTTCTCCTGGTCAGTCCATCCGTTGGCAGCGGCGGCTGCTTCAAACTGGCGGTGGTACATCGTCCAGGTGGTTTGTCCATCGTAGGTCGGGGCCTTGAGGTTCGCAGTTCCATGAACGCCAGGTGTCCTTACTTGTACCTTGGTTTTCTGTAGGTCCATCTCCAATCTTTCTATCTTCTGCTGAAGGCGTTCCTCAAGATCTTCTACGGCTTCTTGGAAGTGGTTCTGCTGTTCCTGACAACGTACTTCCAACATTGCTTGTTGCTCATTTTTCATATCCTCGAAGTTTTTGTGAAGTCGAATTTCCTGATTTTCTAAAATTTTCTGAAGCCGGTCCTGTTCTTCTTGCTTTTCTCTCTGACGTCGCTCCTCCAAACGAATTTCCAAATTATCCAACATTTTCTCAAGCCGGTCCTGTTCTTCTTGTTTATCTTGTTGTCGTTGAATTTTTAAGTCTTCGAAAATGTTCTCAAGCCGGTCCTGTTCTTGTTGACGTCGTAATTTTTCCTCTTCCTTTTCTCTACGTAGTCTTTCTTGTTCTTCAGCTTTCTCTCTTCTCATATTCTCCATAAAATCGCCCAATAGTTTGCTTACTTCCTCCATTTTCCTCGCTTGCTGTCTCGTACCAACCATAAAAATTCCCAAATTCGGTGTAAAAATCGTCCAATCCACTTAATTTCTTCTTAAAATCCTCTTGAATCGCACTTCCGACACCAATTGTTACGGATTCCGTGGGTCCACTAATTTAAACTCACGATAAAATACTTAACGAATTTATTTTCTCACTTTATACACACAATTACTAACTTATAACACACAACAAACTAACTATTTATAAGATTCCTTCACCAAATTGTCCGATTTTCAATTTCCACGCGGTAT